AATATGCTGGGGAAACCCACAAAAACAACTGACTTGAGCAAGTGGGAGTGCATGGACCCGTCTGACAGCTGGGGAACCAGATAGGACCAAACCAGGCCCCCTGAACATGGGTATCATTTGGGGGACTTGGACAGTCTATGGAGCCTCTGACAGTGGAACCAGTATTTATCCCAAGTGCACAAATGGACTTTGGGAGGCCATTCCCTATGGAGGAATACTCTCTCAACCTAGACACACAGGGGAGGGCCTAGGTCCTGCCCAAAATGATGTGACAGATTTGATGATCCCCTGGGGAGTGGATGGGGGTAGAATGGGGGGCTGGTGGGGAGCATGGGTGGACAGGAGGGAGAGGGAACTGAGATTGGTATGTAAAATAAGATTGTTTTTAATTTAAATTAAAAAGTTTTTTTAAAAAAAGATTGATGTAGTAAATTCACAAAAATGAAGATTGCTGCTCTTAAGAATCCTGAGACATCGCAAGGGCATAGTTTTCAAAAATGTCAATCACAAAGATCTAAAGTTCTAATGAAGCAGATCTAGCATCTTCCTTAAAACAAACTGCAGTCATATATGTAATTCATTACTGTTTCTTTGGCCATCCATGGTTTGTCTCCAAATGATGAGCGTGATGGTTCATAACTATAATCCCAGCAGTAGGGAGCATGAAGCAAGAGGACTCTTGTAGGTTCCAGGCCAGGCTGGGTCAGTGAGTTCAGAGCCAAATGTGAAACTTTGAATAAAGCAAGTAAGAAGAGATAGATGAGTGAAGGAAGAAAAGAGAAAGAGGAAAAATTGTCAGGGGGCTGAGAGATGGCTTAATGGTTAATAGCACTGCTACTCTTCCAGAGGACCCAAGTTCAATTCCAAGAACCCACATGACAGTCTGTAACTCCAATTCCCTGGGATCTGAAACCTTCACGCCAATGCGCATAAAGTTAAAATAAATTATTAAAAAGAAATTGTCAGAATTCTGTTTGGGACAGAAATTCATAATAAACATTTATAATCAACTAATGGGTAGTCATCTCATGGATTCAGGTACTTTTGACTATTGCTCTGGAATGGGGTAAGTTGTTTGAAATCACATTTAGACACTTTATTCTAGCTAAATATTATTAAAAGATACTGACTGCCTTCGGTATATGGCCAGCTTTTTCTTCAGTTAAAAATTTTATCTATTAAGTATTAAGACTAATACCTCCAGTTCCTCTGAGAGACACAGAAAAAAAGCTTCCTATGAAGGTTGTGCTGTTCCATTTCTGGAAATGTCTATAAAAGATCTGCTACTGTATGTTAACATTTGCAGTGACTAAGACAGGCTTTGTCCCCCTGGTAGCACTGACATTTGGAGCTGGGTCATTCTTTGTTGTGGGGCTACAATGTATGCTGTAGGAAGTTAAGCAGCGCCTCTGGATCCTCTGTTTGTCCACTGGATGCTTATAGCAAGCATCATGTACACCCAGTTGTGACAGATGCACAGACACTGCTAAGGGTACCCTGACAAGTAAAACTGTCTGGGCCGAGAGTAACTTAATAGTAATTTTATCAAAGCTATAGAAAGAGCATATGTTCTGCGTTTTTCTCTAGCTCACTATTGAGGATTCTGCAAGTGACAGAACTTGAAAGGATCCAATTCACAAATCCTCATTTTAGGTCCATTTTCTCTTTGGGACAACTTTACCATGGGATATACAAATTTATAAACTCTAAGCAACATGTTTTGCACATAACTTGTATACAGATTTAATAGTGAATACTATTGTGCAAAAGCAATCTAAAAACTGGGTAAGGAACTCTGTAGGAATCTGTACTACAGAGTGCACCACTAACTTAATAGTTTTTAAGCTACTCCATGATAATACTTAAGTCATTTAAAAATTGAAATAAAATATATTAACCCCTCTTGTTACATTTTACCTCAAGGCTCTATCCTTGGAAATTCACCATTGTTTCTGGAATTTTCTTCCTAGAGTGAAAGAAACAAGCTAATAATTCACCTGCTAGGTTTATTTCAGATGCTATTTGCTTCAGTATTATTGTAACCTCTCCTTACTTCTACTCAAATACTACATATTTTCAATTAGTCAACTTTTTATTTAAATTATTAGTATTTAAATGATATGCTGATAGTGTACCTTAATATCCTTATTGACCATCTTATATTAATGTTCCATCTCATCATCCATATGGGCATGATTTAGATATTTTTAAAGCAACAACTTTTATTTTAATTATATATATATGTATGTATGTATTTTGCCCACATGCATATATGTACATCCCTTTGTGCCTGGTTTCCAGAGAGGCCAGAAGAGGGTGTCAGATCCCTGGGAACTGGAATTACAGTTATGAACTGTCATGTGGGTGTTGGGAACTGAACTTAAGTCTTCTGCAATAGCAGCCAGTGTTCTTAACCAATCAGCTATCCTTTCACATGGTTTAAACATTGCCCCCTTTTCCTTTAGTCTTTTTTTATATGGAACAGGCATAAAAATATATGGCTATCACAAATTTAATAGGAAACTAAAATTATTTTTAAAACTTCAGATGATAGAGTATCCAAATTTTATTGCTAAAAACTAGAATCTCTATTTTACCCTCGAATCTTGCAGTTAACATTTAAGGCAGCAAGGCACTTTTTAAAAAAACTTAACAAACAAGTACAACTTCTGGTTATTAATTTTTCACACATAATTTTTGCATTATTAACATAAGGCAAAGTCATCCTGAAAACAAAGACAAGGGAATAATAAGAATGTATTGGCATGGCAGATGAAAAAGATATTAGGTCAGAAGAAACATGTATACAACAAAGCCTACAATTTGAGAAATGTGGAAATCAAAGTCAAACTAGTTAATTACTAACAAAGATGGCAGCCCGTTTCTTTTTGTCTTTCACAGTGAATGCACGATTAGCACTTAGTACTAAGACTGGGGAATAAACCATCTATAATCTACTGAAAAAGACCATCTGCTTCTATAAATTTTGTTCTCATATACTTGCCAAAGAAGAGACCGTATTAACAAAATAATGGGCCCTGCTCTGTTAATTGTAGGTTGTTTGCAGTTTTGCTGTTGCTATTAGAATTTAATAAGCCATTCCTTCTGCTAAATTAATAAGCAGCCAAGATTATGTAATAGCTGCTTTCAGCTGCTAATTATTTTCCCATAATTCCTTCTTTACCCCCCCAGTCCTCCCCACCTTTTATTTTTTTGGCTAGGAACACAGAGATGAGACTGCCAATATGTCATTAGCAAGTCTCCCATCATTTCCAGAGGTACCAACCAACATTAGTGACACATCCAATGAGGTTAAGTTTGGGCGGTGGCTATCTCAGGAACCTTGAGGACATATATGTTTTGTACACAAAGAGAAGGCAGTGTCTGGAATTAGAGGGCAGAGTTAAATTGTGTAATATCAGTCCTATCTTTAAACTGGCTAATGGCATCTGTTTCCTGTATTAAGGGAGAAAAAGAACATTGGCATTTTAGGGGCATGTTTGGACAGGAAACAGAAATTTGGGCAGGGGGCCTAAAGACCTACCAAAAGCCAATTCTGCTGACCATTTTCATATTCCAGTATATATCAATCACACACGTATTAGTAGGAAACTTTCCAAGCAGCATAGTATTGCTGAAAGGGGAAGATGTTCTAGTTTTATTTTGATAAACAAAGGCATCATAAAACAACCTCAAATTCTTATCATATATGATCCTATTGCATTTGCACTGTAAGACATAAAAATGAACACTACTTTCTAATAAGAGATTTCTTTAAGTTGAGTGAATACAGCTTCGTTTAAAATGTAGCATCTTTTTTCTTGCATTGATTAATTTAACATTCATGTTAATAACCTCTGCAAAGGAAGACATGGTCCAATAAAAGCTCTTTTGGCTTTCTCTGTAGGAACGGAGGTGACTGGAGTAATGAATAGCATTTGACATGGGAAATCCATGGCTGTCCAAGCAAGGTCACCTAATCCTATGGGTCTCCACTCCCCCTATCTATAAAAGATGAGTTGAACTACATGATTCATCCATTCTGTCATTCAAATAAAACATGGACATCCATTATATGCCCAGAACTAAGTCAACATTTTAGCTTTTCACAAGTCTATCATTTTATAATTTGATTCGGCAACTCACATTTATCAGTAGTGTTAAAAGACCAGGCAGGGAACTAGGTTGTTAAAATGAATAAAATCCAAGATGCGCTAAACAGAAACATGAGGGTAAAAGAGGGATTCGTTGTTCCGGGGCTTTAGGGTGAGGCTTCATAGCTGTGACATTAGAGGAAGGACATGCCAAGAAGAGCGAGTCGTCAGCAATGCAAAACTGGAACCCAGGCGCGGTGGGGGATGGCGAGACCGTGAGAAGGAAGCGGGATTTGGAGGACCTAGAGCTGTGTGGGCTTTTGCAGCAGACAGCGGACCACAACTCATCCAGTCCACCGCACTGCTGGGAGAAGTAAGCCCCGCAGGGCGGCTCTTGCAAAGCTTGGGGCGAGAAGTGTCTGGGCTATAGCTGAGGCTGTAGCAGTGAGTTGGAAAGGAGGGGCCTCCCTGCAAAAGCGGGCATGAGCACTACGAAAGCGCTGACTTGTTTTCCCCAGAGTTGCAGCGCTCCTGTCCTTCCTCCCACCATCTGATGATGGTCTCCTGACACACTCCCCGTCCAACCCTCTGGGGACCCAGAGAGTCACTGAAGCTCGAAGTCAGCTCCTTGCAGGGAGGATCATCCTTAGCCTGCACCACAGGGTCAGCTAAGGGCGCCAAGGATCCCCGTCCTCCCGACACTGAAAGAGCCAGGACAGCCGCGCGGGCAGCTCGGGGAGAAATACGCAGGCGCGCCCACTACAGCCAAAGCCGCTTCCGGGTCACGTGGCCAGACTTCCGGCCCTCGCCACGCCTCCCTGTGACCATTTGACCAATCGGCTTTCTGTCTCTCTCCGGCAACTGTGCTGATACTAGAGGCGGTTGGCGCCCCCTCGGCAGTTTGGCGCGCGTCCTCTGGTCCGCCTCTCCGCTCGCCGCAGCCCGGGCTCCTCCTCCGTCCAGCCTCCGGGGCGGGGTCTGTTGGCTCGCCCTACCCTCGTCGCCTAAGCCTGCCCTCCGCCAGACGGGTCCCCTCCCCGCGGCACCACGGCTTCCCTTCAACAGCACGGCGACGGGGGCTTCCCCTCAGCAGCAGCCGCTGCTTCGGTCTCCGCAGCCGGCCAACCTCCGCCGCGTCCGCGGCCCGCGGCTGCCGTAAGTGTCAAGGGGAGCCGTAAGGTGGCAGGGATGGGAAGAGGGAGAGATGGCCGGGCGCGCCCCCCGCCGCCCCGTGAGTGCCCCCGACGACCCCACCCCGAGTCCTCCCGGGGCGCCGCGCCCCAAAACTCACTTCTGGCGGCGACGGCGCCCGGCTCTTCACTCCGCAGCGCGCCAGTGATGCTGGGACTGGTCCTGGGTTCCGCGGGGTCCCCGAGGCACCTGTGGTTCGCCGATCGCCTTAAGTTTGGCGGGGCGTTTTGGGGAGGGGCCGGGGGTGACGGCGACCGAGGACTTGGCGCCCCTGGCGGGCCAGTGGATGCCATTGTCTCTGCTCCGCTCCTTGCCGGCCACCTCTCTTGGCTTTGGGCAGTGATGGAGTGTGGTCCCGGGAGGAGGGGAGGCATCCGAGACTGCGGGACCCCAGGGACGCTGGACCGGAGCCCGTTCCAATGCTGAGCCCATTGTTGTTTTTTGTTTTGTTTTTGTTTTAATACCAATCTGGAGAAATTTTTGTCCCGGGATTTGCGGCAAAATCAAAGCGAGGGAAAAGGACTACTACTACCACGGTTTTCGTCCCATGTTAGCACATCATTTGTTTGAAGGAAAATGCGTGATTTCTCCGTCCTCCAAAGTGGTAGGGCGGATACTGGACCCTGTTACGGATAGCCTAGAGCGCACTCCTGTCGTTAGCAAACCCTCTCTCCTGGTCACCAAGATTTAAGAAAACCCAATCGTTTCCTTCCCCAAGTTCTCGTAACGGTTTGCGTTGAATGTCCAGTTGATGCTTTACTTGTCCTCTTCGAATACTGCTGTCTTCAGAACTTATATGGGCGGCACTTTGCTATCAATGAATAAGCGTGTTGTGGGTAATAGCCAATTTTAACTTTGTTAAAGTTAAATGGCTACGCCATAAATTTCCGGATGTTTTCTTGATGCCTTTTGGGGATATTGCGAAGTGAATTTCCTGTCGAAATTTACAGCCGGTTTGATTTTATATTAGTTACGTAAATTCCTCCTCCCGGTGTTCAAAATTTAGGTGGTGTGGTGAATATTAAGAATCCACCTTGAGGGGGGGTTCTTACTTGCACTGGCGCTGTTAAAAGAACTTTAAAGGGTTAAAAGAGAACACCTAACCGAATTTATCTTCAAATTAGCTTTACAATAGAGCTCGTTTTTACCAGTTGAATTATAAAATACCTGCCTTAGAAAACGTAGCCTGACCAACAGACATGCAAATGCTAAGTAAATCCATACAAATTAGCTTCAGTATAAAACACACTAGAATCCAGCATATATTCAAATGTATTTTTATTTTTAAATAGGTATTCTGTGAAATGTCTCAAATTTTGTTTTTAAATTAAATATTCTTTGCAGTGTCTCAATATGAATAACTTTTGGTTAAGCCTTTCAGACTTGTATTCTCTTTCACATATTACATTAATTCAGTTCTCGGGTCCTTATTTGTGTTAGATATTACAAAAGTGAAAACATAAAAATCAGGCTTTTGTTAAGAAAAATGTGTTGGTTGTGACATCTTTTTGATTAATATTCTGTTTTGCTTAAATATGCCAGCATAAATTGAGGGGAGTGCTTTAAATGATAGGCAGTCTGGCTGCAAGAAATTCAGCCTGCAACTAGAATGACCTCGGGGTGAAAACTAGTAGATCTCTGCTTTCTTAGAAATGTACCTAAATCAACGACCTGATGTCTACAGTTGCCTTTTGATACTTACAGAGGGTGGAATGCGTAGCACAAGGAGAAAATTGTTTCTTGAATAATCAGAGTTCTTCAAAAATGTCACGCCAGCTTTCCACCTGTTCTTACTGCCACATACTCTCTTCCACACTTGCCTACATATGGTAAGAAGGCCTTTCCAAAAGAATTCCCTGCTATTATAACCTGCCTGCCTAGAAGTGTGGATGGTCTACTAATCATTTGGCTGGGTATTTACTGTATCCCCAAAGCAGCTCTGAAAACCATTCGATCTTAACTGTTGATTCCATATAATTGTATGTAATCCTGACTTTATTTATCTTAACAGATGCAGTTTATGTTGCTTTTTAGTCGTCAGGGAAAGCTGCGGCTGCAGAAATGGTATGTCCCACTCTCAGACAAAGAGAAGAAGAAGATCACAAGAGAACTTGTTCAAACCGTTTTAGCTCGAAAGCCTAAGATGTGCAGCTTCCTTGAATGGAGAGATCTGAAGATTGTTTATAAAAGGTATCATTTTTGTATTTATCAGAAAGGTGAAATGTGGTCAAACATTAGGGTTATCTCTAATGAGGAAATTGTAGATTTTTATGTCAATAAACAAGGATTAACAAATATTTCAATGAACTAAGTTTAAAAGAAAACTTTCCATTTAAAAATAATGGCTGTTTTGATTGCTTGCCTTAAGCTAAAATGCTGCTAGCAGTAGGGTAATCGTTTTAAAATTAATTATATAATTACAACCAAGCAATTATATGTGCTTGATCAACATTTTTGAAAAAATGCAATGAATTCATTTCACTACAGGGCTTAGTAGGGTCAGTATTTTAAATTTTTGAGTAATTCGATAAATTTGGGCATGCATAGATAATTGTGTGATAATCCTTTCTCCCAACAAACCTATAAAGATTTATCAAATATTTGATATTTTGCATTCCTTTTATCTCCTATAATTAGTCTTACTTATAAAGACTTTGAGCATATAGACCATTTCACTATACAGATATTTAAATATTTGTGTCTATACAAGATCTCTTTGCTAGTAGTATTTAATTTCAAATAGACTTGTTGCTGTGGAGGAGTTATGCCTAGATATAATAATTTTACCAAGGATAGATTTTTTTAAAGAAAATTATGTTGCAACATAACTTGTAGATTAACTTTTTACACAGTTTTTTCTTTAATGCTCCACATCTTTATTTTATAGAATGTTTTTAGAAGGAACATTTCTTGTTTCTTCCCCATTTTTGGTCTTTTTTGAATAATTTACTGAATTTAAGATAAGAATTTCAGCATATGAAACACTCTTGTATGGGGAGTGAGCGTACAGAGAACTAACAGTGTGGAATGCAATGAAGGTGGAGAGAAATCAAGATTTTTCTGTTCTCTGTCACTATACTCCAAGTTTGGATGTGTTTTGTGGTAGAGGAGGTGACAGAGTAAGAAATGAGATTTATAGAACATAAAGACCCTCTTAGGTACTTTAGACTTATCTTTATTTCATAATGAATTTCATCAGATTGGGTGTTTTTTTTAATTCAGCGTTTGGCTTGGTACTTGTTGAGAAAATTATAGAAAAATCATAGCATTTGAAAGCTGGGAAATGCCTTAGAACAACTTACACACACACACACACACACACACACACACACACACAAAATATATATCTTTTTGCCCAGGGATAGAATCTTGACTAAAACAAGTAGCAATACAATTGCTTTTGTGGAATCAGAAATAAGAAGATGTGCCCTGGCTCAATTGGCCTCTGCTCTCTGCACTAGAGAGAGCTCTTCAATTTGAAAAGCACAGTTACTGTTCAAATATCAATTCCTAAAAGATGAGAATTTGTGAATGGTGACTTGGCCCAAGGTCATATACTAGTGATGGGCATGGGGCTACAACTTAAGTGTGGAGGCAATGGTTTTAAACAGGTGTGGAAAGAAATTACGATTAGATTTGCTTTTCTGAAAAGATTGCTGTGAAACCTGGCTGGGGGAGTAAAAGGGGCTGAGACTGGCACCTGCAGGATCAGTGGGGGACTGCATGATGATTGGATCCTGAGCTGAGAGGCTGGAAAGGAAACCTGGTACCTAGGGAAGTCTCAGTAGACTTGGTCACCCCGGGAAGCAGAGACAGCAGTCAAGGAAAGAGGGAGTACAGTGGAGTCACCTCCATTTCTAGAGTTTGACTTATGGGATGAAAGGTAAGCTAGAGAATTCAGTTAATATGGGGACAAGTTGATATGGCTGTATTTCAATTGGCTCTCTGATGGGATTTCGTGGGCATAGGCATGAAACTTGAAGGTGACAATTAGACTTAAAGTATTAGATCACTCAGCATTGAGGTACAGATGGAAGGGTTAAAGAGGGGGCCCGCAGATCGAAATGAGAAAGAAGCAAGGTAGTGGTGTTAGGTAAGTAAAGTCCAGGAGCAGAGAAATTTGAGAGTAAGACCACTAATGCCTGCTGTTCATGAAGTTCAGCAAAAGTGAACAGCTCTTAGAATCTCAGAGTGAGCATTTCAAGCATTTCATGCATTGCCTGTTGCCAGAACATTGTCAGTGGAGTAGAGACAGAATTCTCGATATAACGAGGCGAAGGTAGAGAAGTTGAAAGCGCATGTCTACAGTATTTGGGAGAGCTTTGCCAAGGACAGAAGAGGTGGTAACTGCTGCTAGATCTGGATTCTGGCATCCTGGATAGGATTTGTAAAATGTGTGAGAAGTTTAAGCTTATTTCTAGACAGTGGAAGGAGTCCCCCGTGTGGAGGAGGAAAATCCTAGCAAGAGAACAAGTCCATGAATGGGCCATTCAGAGGAAGAAAATGAAACGGCAGCTTGGAGCTCATAGGCTTGCCGCTCAGCCTGTTCTGGGGATCTCCCTACCTTTTGCAGAAATGATAAAAGAGAACTCCAGCCTGATCTGATATTTAGTTTTTTTTTTTCAAATGAAATTTGGACTTAACAAAAAAAAGTAGCTTTATTGAGATGTTTCATATACAAAAGACAAAGTGTATATGATGTTTTTCTATAGGCTTCCTCCCATTTCATACTGAAAACCTCATCTACTTCCCACTTGACCATGTATTTTGTTATTATCAGGTGTTGTGTTTTCCCTGTTCCGGCTGGAAGATAAGACCTTAGCCAGAGAATGTCTACTGTGCTTCTAGTAAATTCTGCTGTAGCACATTCACTGTTCTTCTTAGCATGTGTCTATGTCGTCTTTGTTCATTTGTCCTGTTCACATTTTTCACTGAGCATTTGGTATACGTATTTTCCCTTTGTGGGAGGAAGCCGTGAGGGGAAAGGCTAAAGTCATGGAAAAGACAGGCTGAAAATGTGAGGACTTACGATATGTTCCCATGTGCCATCACCTAGTTTTGTGGCATTTGAATATTTTGTTGGTTTTATTTTTTTGCCTTTGTTTCCTCATCTTTAAAATAAATGCTCCTGAATATCCACTCGAAACAGAACATTATATGCCTAGTTTGTGCAACATTTCATAGTAGAGGCAATTGAATTTATGTCTTTTAAAATTAATTTTAAAATGCATCCCCATGTTACTAGCTTGAGAATTTGTTGAAGGGTACTTATTGATTTTCTTTCCTAACAAAAGAAATTTTAACGACATACCAGTGGGTATTGAGAATAGTTTAGCTCCATTCACGCACAGTCAGCTGATATTTAGCTGACTGCAGAGAAGTCATGTGTTTTGAATATAAGAATAGGCACTTTCAGATGTTCTGAGTGCCAGTAATTAGAGTAAGCCCTAATCCATGCTGCTAAAAATAACTAAACATACCTCTCCTTACTAGTCTATTATTAATTTTACTAAGAGAACAACATGAGCTCATATTGAATTTGAAAGCACCATTTGTTCCTAAAAATAGGGAGTACTCTTCAGGTTCTCTTGGTAATCTTTACTAAATCTGTATTGCATTTTGTATCTCTTTCCCTTTTTCAAAGCTCTTAATATATTGCGTTGAGCATATTTTAATTTTAGCCAGGTGCAGGATTATTTTAATACACTTCGCAGCTGTGGTTTTTAATCGAAAATTTGGGCTCCAGGGTCAAATTTCTGCTCTCATCTGGTTACTTAAGCCTAGATCTCCTATAAATGCAAGTAATAATGATATCTTGGGTAGGGATGTTGTGACATTAAGATGGTAAAATATGCAAAAGCCTTCACTAACATTTAGTGCCTCACTTATAGTGAGTCTTTCCATGGTACCTGCTATTGAACTTCTGTTTCTTCCTCAGCTTTCTGAAGAGGTGTTCTTATCATGCTAATAACTGTCTCTTCACCTGGAAGGAATAGTTCTTTATGTTGATGCCTTTTCCCCATTGTTAGTCAAGTAAACATTTAGAGGATTGAAGTTGCCCCTGCATAGTGTAGGAGACCCTGGATTTATCTCTAGAATGACAAATAAATGAAATACTATTGGAGCTCATTTTTTTTCTTTTTAAAGTATTTTTGGTTGGTACCTAGATATATCAGTCCTGCTTATTTTTTTAAATTCTTGAATGGTATAATTTAGGACCTTCTACTATTTAATTGTTGTTTAAATATTGTTTACTTGTAAACAAAGAGGCGATATTGTGGACAAAGAAGCAAGGACATACATACTGGATGCTTAACAGTAGCATGGGAGAAGTTTGAAAATAAAGAACCTTATTCCAAACTTGCTATTAATAATCTCTGCAATACAATTATTTGTTATTCTGTTCATAGAAATGACTTGTATCTGTCTTTTGGTCTGTCATTTTTATATCAGTTCCTTTAATCTTTAGTTTTCATAATTCAGAAAATCTCCTGTATCATCGTTTCTCAACCTGTGGGTCACAACCTCTTTGGCAGCCGTCTATCTCCAAAAATATTTGCATTATAATTCATAACAGCAACAAAATTATAGTTATGAAGTAACAATGAAAATAATTTTATGGTTGTGGTCACCACACCATGAGGAACTGTATTAAAGGGTCTCTGCTTTAGGAAGGTTGAGAATGGTCCTATATCATTTGTGCCTGATTCTCCAGAAGCTATTGAAGAGCATGTATTAGGGAGGGTGGGGAGAGAGTTGGAACAGTCTTGCTTTTTAAATAGATAAGCAAAACAAGGTTATGATGGGAGCAAGAGGAAGTTCTCTGCTCAAGTTAGAGATGGTGCCCTGTTTTGCCTTTCCTGTTTCCCTTACAGGGGATGAGGGAACACATTGAAATGTCTACTCTGAGAGACCACAGGCTTGCAGATTTGAGGTTTCTGTGAATATTTTATCCTTCAATAACATGTTCTAAAACATTGACAGTATGTTCAATAAGCCCTTCAGTTGGGATATATTGACAGCTTGTTTTCTCTCCCATTTGCTTGTAGTTTGAATCAATCACACTGTATGTATTTTGTTCTGATTAAGTAAACTTAAGAAAAACTGGCTCAATTATATTTTCAAATGTTCAGAAAGAAACCTGAAAAGAAGAGCAAGATCAATTACTCCTTCTAAGAGACCTGAATGAGTTATTTCTTTTTTTTTGCCTGTGTTTTCCAAAATTTCTCTTGTACATTTATTGCTTTTGTAATCTAGAAAAAGAACTTATCTTAAAAGAAGAATAAATATAATTATAATAAGCATGAGGACTTGTGCAACAGGACATGGAAATATATTTAGAAAATATGATTATGGGGTAACATTTTTCTGTGATTTTGTTTCATGACAGATATGCCAGTCTATATTTTTGCTGTGCTATTGAGGATCAGGACAATGAACTGATTACCCTGGAAATAATCCATCGTTACGTGGAATTACTTGACAAGTATTTTGGCAGTGTGAGTAGTAGATTTACTTTTTATCTTGTCTCTAATAAGCTTATTATTTAGGGATTTAAATTGTGAGGAGAGAACAGGAGTGACTTTTTTTTTGGTTTTTTCGAGACAGGGTTTCTCTGTGGCTTTGGAGGCTGTCCTGGAACTCGATTGGTAGTCCAAGCTGGTCTCGAACTCACAGAGATCCGCCTGCCTCTGCCTCCCGAGTGCTGGGATTAAAGGCGTGTGCCACCAACGCCTGGCAGGAGTGACTTTTTATATGCTTGTTTGTTTAGTTTTTCAAGACAAGGCTTTACTGTGTAGCCCTGGCTGTTCTGGAACTTGATTTGTACACCAGGCTGGCCTTGAATTCACAGGGATGTACCTACCTCTGCCACCTGCGTGCTGGGATTAAAGGCGTGTGCCACCACTTCCCTGAACTGACTCTTACTTCTTATCCTGTATCTAGTCAACTTTCAGAATCTCTGGCCCCACAGATGTACTCACTTAATTATAATGGTGAGAATAACTTTGAAAACATTTGAAATAGAGGGGCTGGATAGATAGTGCAGTTGGTGAAGTGCTTACCACCCAAGCATGGGAATCTGAATTAAATCCCAGTATGCACATAAAAAGCCTGTGCTGACTCTTGCTGCTGCTGCTGCTGCTGCTTTTTATATTTTGTATGTATGGATATTTTGCCTACAAGCACGTCTGTGTATCACTTGCATACTTGGTGTCAACAGAGGCCAAAAGAAGGTGTCAAGTCCCCTGAAAGTAGAGATACAGGTGCTTGTGAGTTATAGTGTAAGTTCTGGGAATTGGATCTTCGTCCTCTGGAAGAGCAGACAGTGCTTTTAATTGCTGAGCCATTTCTCCAGACCCTAGCTTTCACTTTTAATCCCTTGGAGAGTGGAGACAGGTGGATCTCTGGAGCTCACAGACCAGCCAGCCCAGGGCCTAGGTCCCAGTGAGAGACCCTGTCTCTAGAAACCAGGTAGATGGCTCCAGAGGAACAATACACATTTGCACACACACACACACACACACACACACACACACACACACACACACACACTAGTGAGATAGAAGAGTCCTATTGCTGACAGTAGCATTCTGGAAGTGTTGTTAGCAGGTTAATCACATTACTCAAGAAATGTGTTTTTAAAGATCAGTTTTTATAAGTGGAAAATTATTAAGTTGACTACATAGAGAGTGTGCAGAGCCAGGTCTTTCTTGTAGGCACCGTGTTGTCAAGTACTTGAAATTTGAAAATTAAGCTTACTCAAATCAATGGTGCTTAATCAGCAAGGTTTCCATTTTGAAAAGAATTAAAATCAATTCAATCTCATCAGATTGGCTTCAGTTTTAACAGGCTTTGTTTGCTTTGTTTCGTTTTGCTTTTCAGGTGTGTGAACTTGATATCATCTTTAATTTCGAGAAGGCCTATTTTATTTTGGATGAATTTCTTTTGGGAGGAGAAGTTCAGGAAACGTCCAAGAAAAATGTCCTTAAAGCAATTGAACAGGCTGATCTCCTGCAAGAGGTAGGCTACTTAGGCTCCTGAAAAGAAACTAGCATGTTTTGCTTTTGCTAGAGAAATCTCAGTCATCATCCCTACAAGTTTCAGAAATTACTTCAAAGCATGCTTGGTATGTAGTGTTCATGTACAGTTTGACCGGAATATGTGTCATTCACATCAACTCAGTTATCTATGGATGAATGGTTCTCTATGGAAATGGCTTGCCAGTGAAGCTGATTTAAAGGATAGACTACTTCAATTAAAAGAAGTAAATGAATAAACAGATAAATAAATGTATATGTTAAAGGGGGAACAATTGGCCAAAAATAACAATCATTTGAGACCTTCTCATCCTTTGTTTTGAAATACTTAAAATCCCCCCACCTTTTTCATTAGTGTGGATAATTAGGAGTTGAATGTGAGATTATGGCATTTCCTTTCCAAATTGGTTCATGTTTTCACCTCATGTCCATTAAGTGCAAATGTAGCCAAGCAAATGTTAGTGTTTTCTAATTATGCTTTTTATAGAACCCGCTGGCTCTGTGTTAACAAAATTAACTTAAAATGAATTTGTACTTCTCTTTGTTCTTTTGACATAACTAACCATGTTCTGTCAAAACTATTATATTCCTGTCTTAACTTCCATACCCCAGAACCATAGCAACCCCATTCCCTTCTAATTGCCTTCAACATCCTCAGCTAATCATGTATTTGATGCTTAGGTAGCAAATTAAATTATGGGTTAGAACTAATTGTGGTTGTTACAATATAGAAGGTTTGGCATGAAAATGGGTTAGTAAAGGAAAAAGAGTATTTTCATTAAGGTAGCTATATATATATATATGACATAAATGAATATTTGTGCCCCATGGGTTCATTTACTAAAGTGTTGAAAGTATATTTGTATTCTTAGTTTATTTTAACCCTGTATTTATTACATCTTTATTATGTTTTTAATTAGTAAAACAGACTTTAAATTCAATTTCTTAGTATTTCTGAAATGGCTAGCTTTAAAGAAATGAATAAGGGGAGAAGAATAACGAATTCTCTGTTAAAATTTCTTTACTTTTGGTCTCTGTAGTGGAGGGAACTCCTAGTGAATCCACTCTATCAGTCAGCTAGGGCCTGCTTCATGTTGTGTTGATATCATCCAGAGCCTACAATTATTAAATGTGAGACAGTGAACTATGTGTTTAATTATGTAGTTACCAGAAAAATGGCTATGAGTGCAAAGCTGAAGTATTTCAGTGATGGCCCCTCATGCCATCTGCTGTTTGGTAGTCAACTGAGCAGAGACCTTTTCCTTGTGTGCAGTTTGCCATGATGATTTATTAATTGATTGCAAACATGTAATTTTGAAGGTTGGTAATTTTAACATCAGGTATGCTGACTCCGAGAGTATATTCTACTGTTAAAGTATTGGTTTTAAAGTTAGCGTCTCCTTTTTGTTGTTTACTAATCAAACTTAAGAGAAACAACAGTATAAAAAAACTGACTAGGTCAAGCTGGAGATGTCGCTCAGTTGGGAGAGTTTGCCTAGCTTGCATGAAGCCATAAGTTCAGTCCTTAGCATAAACCAGATATGGTAGTATGTGCTTGTTGTGTTAGCACTTGTGAAGTGGAGACAGAAGAATCAGGAGTTCAAGGTTTGGACTACAAAGTAAGTTTTGAAGGAAGCCTAAGCAACCTAAGGCCCTGCCAAAAAGAAAAAATAAAACTAACCAAAAGATAGTCCCAGTACTAGGAACTGGAAGTTCTTCATATTTGTGTCTTATCTTAATAATGTTTAATTATTATAGAACTATAACCTCTTGTATCAGAACTTGGTATTTCTTCTGTTTTTCACCATTTTCTGGCTAAATTTTTCTTGTTTGCAAGACATTTTGAAAGCTATTAAAGCTCAGTTTTTTGTTGTAATGTGTTCCTAGAGAGTAATGCTTAGGGTACCAATATCTTCTTGTTCCTGAGTTACTTTTTTTAAATGCTTCCGGAAAAATGCTCTATGCTTTCTCATAAGACAACGTCATGTTTACTTGATAGTATGCATTTACCCTATGAGGGATTACAAAGCATCATTATATCAGTATGTGCTATTTATTACTTCTTAGGCATGAGGATGTTCACTATTGTCATTTTCAGTAATTAGAACCTTTTATTGAACTATTGTCATTGTCAGTAGTTAGAACCTCTTATTGAATATGTAGATTTATTGACAGTATTTTCTCAAAAGTCTCCTTGTTAAGATTTATCAAAATGCATAGGTCTATAATAACTTGTAGGTCTTATAGCTTGAAATATAGTAGTCACTTTGTCAGTGTCCTCAAGTGATTTTGTTTCTGAAATTGTTTAAGTATAGCTATTTTAGATAAATGTATCCTAAAATTTGCAGTGAAATGTATTTTTCATGTATTATAACTTTTCTATTTAGTGTCAAAGTCTTTATTTGGACTGTTTTAAGTACTAAAGATAATTTTGAATTAAGAATGAACTTAACCTGTTGGCTTAATATTATATACAAATTAGAATAATTTTGATTTTAGATATTTTTATAATTTGTGAAATATATACTTCTATTCTTAATTCTAATCAGAAAAATTATTTTTTGCCCAATTTATGTGAATATGTAAATTAGACGGTCTTTCATTTTATGGGCAACCAGGGAGAACAGATGCCAGTGGTTAAGGTAGATATTCTTCTGTTATGCTACAGTTAGTAATAAGAACAAAACAAATGTATATCTGAATAATAACTGCCAAAATATTAGTAAGCATTGTGGTTTAATAGTATATGTTCATATTTGGCATTTATAGACCGATTCTGTGTTTAGACCTTTTGGTTACAGGAATTCATAATTAGCTTTGGGAGGGAAAGCTCAGAAATTAGCCCATTATCCAGTTTTTATTATTTGACTCTTGGAATTTAAGACATGTCATCTCAACATGCCACTGGTACTAAAGTTGGTTTTTAAATTAAGATATGACATGCTGAGATTAATAAAGTTATATTTTTGTAATGCTTAGCATATTTCCCTCCCCACATACTTAGTTTTTGGGTGGTAAGATGAGGTATAATGATGCAGTTGAATTTATTTTATAAACACATATATTGATAATGGCAAAGGAAATAATAGTATGGCTTTTCCCCTGTGAAGCCAGGCACTTACCAGTTTTTCTCTGCTCCTTAATTTTATAGAGCCAGAATGAAGAATGGGGAGGTTTGTCTGAGGATATCTTATGATAAAGAACAGTCTAAGACTTTAGTTCCTTTGACCCCCAACTTATTTATTGGTAACTACTAAATTTACCATTTTTGTGGCATGGATAAAATGGCACTATGCGAAGACTGTTGCACGTGAGATGATTTCAAGTCCTTGCTTGATCTGGGAAGATCAAATAGTTAAATATTAGACATTGGGCTTGTTATAACCCTAGAGGTAGATGCATGATGGTATTGATCAACGCTTTGAGATGTCGACCTTTCTTTCTTATACTAACAGCATCATTTTGAAATTCTTGGGGATTTTTTCTTTTGAGCTTTGTTTGCTGTTGGTATTGTTTCTCACTAAAGTAGTCCACGAAATGGAAAATAAGTGAGGTTGCAAAAGCAAGCACTGTACTCATGAATTTGCTTCTACTTGAAGATGATCCACTTTACAAATAGTTTCACTGGACTTGCAGATGTTTGTCTGTCTCATCTAGAAAGCGGTAGTCTATGGAGAATTACTGCTGCTAAAATTGACTTGTTTTAGTGCTGAGGCCTGCATGAAATATCTTAATAGTATGCTATGTCTTTGTGAAAGTAATCATTAATCTGCGGGACTGCATAAAATGGAAAGGTAAGAATCTTGAGAGAAAAGTGATTTCTTTAAAGAAATGAGGTTTTTATAATGATATTAAGCAAATAAGTATTTCTTGAAGTATCTTATAACATTATGAATATATGTTTTTCAAAAATTAGACCTAGATAATTAAGAATATTTAGGTAAGATTCAAGAATATCATAAATTGTTTTAAAGGCATAGATCTCTTCAAATATATACAGTGTCACTTAAGAACCAAAAATATTTTGTTATAAATATTTTTCTGATTTGCTTCAAGAAGACAAAAACCCTGTAATTCTTTCGTAATTACCATTCCCTCATGTTATAACTTTTAATCCTAAACTATTTCTTTAACTGGGTGAAAAGTTGAGGCTCTATTTATTGATGCAAGAGTGTGTTAAATATAGTTTGGGGTCTGCTGGAACAGGTTCTGTAGAAATGAGGTTTTATTGATGATTAAAGTATTCTAGAAGTGGGCAGATACACAAGGCAGAATAAATCTCCTTTAGCTTTACTTTTAGTGCCATAAAATATGAGTAGTGTCATTGGTGTCTGGTTTCCGGGTTGTAATTTTTGTTCTATGTAGTTTTAGTCATGGTTTCCCTTTGTTTGGTCTTTGGGATTTTGAGACTACCCCATTCCCTGTTTCTTTTCTAACTCCTGGTGAACCAGCTCTGGCTACTCCTGAGCTCTATTCCTTGTTTGTTTTTGTAGTGCCTGGGGTTAGAACTCAGGATTGTGTCCGTGCTAGGCAAGCCCTCTGTCACAGACCTGTATCCCTTTTTCTAATCATTAAAAGTGGGAGTAATTTAAACAGCCAATTATTTTAAATTTGACCTTGAAATGAATTTTTTCCACTAGAATCCATAGTAGTAAATGCAGTTTTATATCACAGTGCAAAGTACAAAAATTATTGAATAATACTCTCATTTCTTCCTTTGTTCTCAAATTTTATATTTTTCTTTTTTTTAAATGCCAATCTTAATAATAGATTTCATGATTCTAGGTTTAGTACCTGCTAAGAGCATATCCCAAATGGTCAATGGTGATTTTTTTCATTAAAAAGTACTTGATAAAAAGTTAAGGTTTGAGTTAGTCCCTTACTTACATTATAATTTGTTTTGTTGTCTCTGTTCTTAAAAAAATAATCCCCATAGTAGAAATATTAGTAGATACAGGCCAACACGTTAGAATATAATCTTACCTACAGCAGAACCAATTAGATTAACTCATTGATTCTCCTGGGAATGAGATGGGGGCTTCCAGTCATACACTTCCAGAGTACATTGGGCTGTGCATGCTCTGACAAATTCCTGGTTGTTGAAGCAGTGCATTGTGACTGGCATCTACTAGGTAGAGACCAATGACACTGCTAAATATCTTATTCTGCCCAGGACACACCCACCAAAGAATTATCTAGCCCTAAAAAGTTGAGAAACCCTGACTTAATTTAACACCTTTAACTAAAAGTTTCATTTTCATTTATAAACTGTTACATCTTTTTAATAGTATATGTAGTGTTCAAATAAATAATAGCTGAAAATTAGTCAGAAATGCAAAGGAGTAGCAAAGTTTGCTTTAAAATTGTGAAAAGAGCGTATGTTAAAGAACACGGAAATGGCTATAAAAAAAACTACCCCTGTGATTCATACAAATTACCTTTGCCTGGTAACTAGCAACTGGGGAGATAATCTATGGGTGCCGTTAGAACCTAACCCACAGAAAAGCTTATGGGATGTCACTGAATAATCTAATTTCCTCAACAACAACTAGATCTGTTCACTTCTATTAAAGTAATTGAGTTTTTATGTGGAAACAAGATTGAATCTACCCTGCAGGCAGGCAGAACACTATTGAATTTTTTGCTGATTTCCTTATCCACTTTAGGATGTGATCATTTCTTAAAGGAAGAATAAAGTGACCAGAATTTACATATACAGACTTCCTTTTGTTAGGTAGACTTTTTGTTCTTCCTTACTCTGTTAGTCTTGAAGAGTTTGTTTGAAATTCTGATTCTAAGAAACCGTTTGTTTAGAAAACTGATTAAATTTAGGATATTTAAAGGCAAATACAACTACACTAGAATAAGCTTAAAATGTCTCTTTACTCTAAGCTAATTTTCCTGTTGTTTTATTTAAAAAGTATAATTAGATGCTAGAGAAAGTAATTTGTCCTCAGTATCTTATAATTAACAGGTTTTAGAGTAGCATTTTTAGGATATATTTTAAAAAGTTACTCCACTTATTTTTAAGGCAAAAATAATAGAAATAGATGAGTAGCCCAGTAGGGAAGAGCAGAGCACATGACTAAGTCAAGGATGAAAAAACAAAAAACAGTTTTTACTAAGACAATACAAATTAAAACACCAACTAACTGTCTTTAAATTTTTCTTCTTGCAACAAAAAGAGACATTCTTGTTACTATTTGTAAACATTTAAACTTGTATTTCATTTTGAAGGATTGGTTTGTGGTATTATTTCATGGTGAGATGTGTACTATATTCTTGTTCTAGTAGTTGCACATCTAAGAGTTTTATCCAACTGAGAAATGTATATATACATATGTATGTATGTGTGTATATGCACCAAGACATAGATAGGCTCAGCATGATATTTGGCGACTGGAATTTACCCAAATGTCCATTAGTAGGAAACAAGTGAAGAAAAATGTAACATAGTTATACCTGCGATTGCTAACATAACTGTAAAATAAATAAGACTTAATTTCTGTATAATGATATGGAAAGATATTCAAAGATGTGTGAAATGACAAATTATCAAGGAGCAGGATATTGACTCTTATAAAGCTCCTCACCCTGTTTTTCAGAAGAGGAAAACAAGTGTGTAGTTAATATTACAATTTTTATGGAAGAATGCTGCCATTTGAGAGTTCACATTGTCTTGCCACAGATGTTAGAAACTGGAGTAGAATTTGCTAAAATAAAGGTTCAGCACACAGAGTGAAGCACTTTCAGCTTTTGTCCATTTTATTCACCAACCATCTGGAGCAGCCATAAAGCTCTTGCTACTCATTACTAACTTAATGTTAAAGAAAATCAGTAGGGGGCTGGAGAGATGGCTCAGTGCTTAAGAGCACTTGCTGTTCATCCAGAGGCCCTGGGTTCAATCCCCAATACACACATCAAGTGGCTCACAACTGTCTGTCATTCCAGCTCCAGGGGAATCTGACATCTTTGGCCTCTGAAGGCACTTGCATTCATGTACATACTCACATGCAGAGAGACATGCCTACATAAAATAATAGAAATAATTAGAAATGCAATTCCAAAGAAAAAGAAAATCAGTAGAAATTCTTATTAATCTACAAATGTTCATAAAATAGGACTATACCATGAGCACTGTCATCTAAAAGGTGCCTTATAAACTGTTTTCAATCCTTCTATTTTATAAAATATTCATTGCCCAAAATAGATGTAAGTGAGTTTGCCATATTGTTTGGCCCTCTGGAGCTTTAACCCAAAGAATTGACTTTCAATGTTGAGCATAAGAAATCTGTATGCTTTACCACAGAATTCAGTTAGGGTCAATAAAAAAGGACCATTGCATAATAAAACATCAGACAAGTATATACAAGAGTATGGGAAGAAACTCCTTTAGAAATTGCAGTAAGGTAATAAACTTGAAATCACACTTCCTTATATTTTTATATTTGCTTTTCATTAAATATAAATTATTTTCTCTTTTGCCACATTGAACTAGAATCAGGAGAGTAGCTGTTCAGTCTTGAATAGCTAACACCATTAGGTTAGTTAAGCATCTCTCAGTTAACAGTGCTTAAGCCAATGTAATTGCTAGTTTGGGAGTGTTTCGGCTTTCCCTTTAGTTTTACCTGTGAGCCATGTCATAAACTTAGCATGATGAATGAATAGCTAGGAAGTTTCATGGTAGTAGGGTTTGTCTTTTCTTACGAAAACAGGTGGTTTTGAAAACAGATCAAAATTGATTCTTTCCCTACTACACATCTAGTCCCTTTTGTAGCTTGAAAATGAAATGATTCTCAGTACAGAGAAAGGTTGAAAAAGCATGTATAGTGGGAAGGAGCTCATACAAAGAGTGGGGACCAAGAATCTGCACTAAGGAAAATTATTTGTTTATGTTTATATAATGCAACTGGGTTATATTTTTTGTCTCAGTACTTCTCTAGCCTTTATTCCTATTTAATTTAAATTGCTAGTATCTTAGTATATTTATAAATGCAGTTTATGAACGCATATATATATGGCTGTTTCCAAAGGTGCCCATGGGAAGAACAAAATAGTAGACCTAGCTGCGTGGGCTCTACTCAGAAAATGCACAGGTAGTATGAGGGTCCAGAATACTAAACTTTATGTTGAATTTATGTACATCCTTTGCATATGAGAGAAAAAAATCTTGGTCAGTTACAGACATGGTTAAATATTTTACCTAAAAGCTCAGCTTTAAATGTTAAGTAGTCATTAAGGCGTTTATCTATAGCAGAACTTCTTCAGATATTAACAGTCTGAACTGGACATTTCCTAGTATCCTAAAAGTGGTTAAAGGATACTATTTGCTATATAATACCACAATTTATTTTTGTGTATTTTAGAGGCTGTTTTTTTGAAAGATGCTTTTCCAATGAAGAGGGGTTTCTTCTATGAAGAATATTCTTGACAATTGACGGGTACTAATTTGTTTAAATATAGTATTATGGACCCTTGACTTTAAAGGATAATTTTTCTTATTATCAACCCTTTTGCTTAGCAACGGGTAGTAAAAAAAATATTAGTTAAAAAGTTATGGCAGTGCCTGAGGTGGCCACATTTCAAAATTGTTCATATAGAATTTTTGTCCTTGTAAGTCTTCTCCAGGAAGGAATGACTGTATTTTATTATATTTTTATCTCTGTTGGAAAACCACCTTTTTCCTTCAATGGGCAAAAACCTTTTTATGGTTGGTTTTCATATGACATATCAAGTTGAAAATCAGTAAGTTTAAAAACTATAACATAAGACAAAGAACTGGTATTGAAGTACAAGGTTATTTGAGACTTAAACTTTTCTTGTTCTCTCTCCAGAAAACAGAGACTATGTATCACAGCAAGAGTTTCATTGGGTATAAGAAAGCGTTCTAGAATACGTGCTGGAGTGCAGACATGCATCAAAATGTAGTAGGCTGTATTAATTCAGTTTTAATTATAATTTGTCAAGTTTATTATTTATATTTTGGCAATATTTGGAAAGTTAATTGTATTTAAATCCCAATGGATAGCCCCTATTATTTTATTAAATTGATGCTTTGTAGGAAATTTTTCCCTATAATAACCCATAATTGGGATTACTGATTTACTGCTGAGAGTCACTGACAAAGTATTTTTAAATACAATTAAATCAGTAATGCTGTTAGTACAGAATTAGACTTTCCCTGTGAGAATGAAAGCTTCTATAAGGAAATGAAGCATTGGGCATTCGTTACTAATATTATTTTACTTGCTTGTTTTATTATTACACTATTCTAAATGGGAAAGACGAAGCTTTTATAGCTTAATATTTTAGAGTTCCAACTTTTTCATCTGGGATGTTGGAAAGTCCACTTAAGACCCTACCCTGGGTTATTTTGTCACTTTTTGATGTGAGAACATCTAACATCTTGTTTAGATATATTTGTAGGCATAGGCATTTAACAAATTTTTGGAATTACTTAGAATAATTTTGAGAACTTAAAAATTAACCTTTAGCGTCAAAGTCACCTTTTTTAGCTAAGTCAACAATTTAAAGCTTTCCTAGAGGGAAAAATTTTTTAAAAAGCTTTCCTAGGTACTTAACAATACTATATAGTGATTACTTTCAACTTGTTCTTGGGGGAGCTTTTTCTCTGGGATCTCTCCTTATTGTAATAGGACCCTAATGAATGTAATACACTGGTGAAAAGGGAGAACTCTAACTGAACTTGCTGTTAATTAGCATTGACTTAAACTGGCAATATTTTCAGATTTTAGTAATACAGTGCTTTAGGATTCTCTAGAATGTAGGTCATCTTCTTTACTGTTCCATACCATGAACTTGAAAAAGACAAATCAGAACTGGGCATTTTTTAAGAATGTAAATGTTCAGGCAAAAACCAAAGAACAAAAGAAAACCTGATGCTTTGGATAACTTTACTTTGAAGTAAACAATCTCAAAATTTGATTGTGTCTTCATCAGCTTGTATACTGTGTGTAAGAATATATGCATTTCTTTTGTAGCCACGCCATGAATATTTTAATGTCCCTGTGTACTAAATGACTGCTCATCGACTATGCAGAATTTCACAGAGGAAATAGAGAACTGATATACTTATGAAAGAAAATGTCCTCAGCTTGGTGACTAATTCTCCTGTAAAAAGATAAAAAGCATCTTAGACCTAGTACCTTTATGATTGTATTTTTTCTGTACACATTCCTAATTATATTTTCATTCTGTATATGATATTGATATATCGTTTATTTCTGTCTACTACTGTTTCTTCTTGAGAAAATACAACTTGTGAACATTTTGATTAATATTCTAAATTCATACAAGCTATTGTTAGTAAACCATCCATGATTAATCTTATGAGAGTATAACAGAAAGGCTGGGCAATCACAAATGTTTACCAAAGAAAATACAGTTAAGAACTCAGGCAAAATTAGCAGCACCACAGTATTTAGTTCATTGTTGAAGAAAACCAAGCTTTACTTAACACTAAGATTATCTTACGGTCTGTATGAGCTAATATGTTCAACTGTATCACGTGAAAGCGTATGTTGAAGCAATATAAGAAAAATCAATTACAATTATATAAGACCTAAGGTTAAAACATTGAATTTTCCAGAAATTTTGTAGTGCCAATATTTATTGAGCCACATTTATGCAGTGTCAGACAGTCCTTTTACAAACTATCAGAAAGCTATGTCACAAAGTCTCCTGAAATGTCTGTTGCTCGGTAACAACTCTTTTGAAGCAGTAATACTGAGCCCACTTATATGATATGAAAATTCTGATATTCATTTTCAGTATCCAGACATTTTTTATTAGTTAATGGATCCCTAATTAATGTATTAAGCCTTCTAAACACTCAATGCTGTATTAACTATGACTTTGTTCTGAAATACTAAAAACTTTTCATATTAATTTTACATAAATATGCTTTTAATGACACTTAGCATATTTTATTATAAAAAGAACCAGATAACTCTTTGTTTATATCTAGAGAGTTTAAAGCCCAAGTAAATTGTCCTTAATAACTTCGGAGACATGGTAGTGCATGCCTGTCATCTGGGCATTTGGGAGGCTGAGGCAGGAGAAAGATGAGTTACTACGTTTACTAGGGAGTCCTTGTCTCAAAAGACAAAAATTAAATATGCCAAAAAATACCCAAACCAGTTTCCCACCGAAAGATCTGTGACAATGTTTTAGGAAATGTAGTATTAGGCAGCTGTATAGATCAACTATCTCCATTACCATATGAAGTGTCATAAAACATTGGTCTTTCATTTCCATTTTTTCCCATCCTCCTACCCTACATGTTGTTCATCTGATTTTAATGTTGCATAAATATGCATTGTCTCATGCCTGTTTGTTTTGGATGCTGTGTGCTGAGCTATAACAAAATGTTGCGCTTTTTTTTTGAGGGGGATACCTGTATGTAGCTGCTTGCTTTAAATTAGCAGATTCTGAAATAGCTTTTCTTGCATGTCTAAAATAAAGTATTGCATGTACTTTGTCTCATGTGAATGACTTTTTTCTACTCCATCTTTTTTGATAAAATAACATTCTATATTTTCATTTTTCCAGATTTTTTTAAATTGTGATTTTTTAAAAATAACATAGAATTCACCATTTTAATCACTACAGTAGTGCTAAGTATATTCATATTGTACAACACATCTCCAGAACTTTTTCATCTTGCAGAACTGAAATTACATAACTCATCAGCCAACCACTTCCCATTTCTCTCTCACTGAATGAAGGCCCTGGTAACAACCATTCTGTCTTTTTTTTTTTTTTTTGGTTTTTACGAGACAGGGTTTCTCTGTATTGTTTTGGAGGCTGTCGGTCCAGCCTGGCCTCGAACTCACAGAGATCCGCCTGCCTCTGCCTCCCGAGTGCTGGGATTAAAGGCGTGCGCCACCACCGCCCAGCCAACCATTATATCTTAATCATTTCCCTAAATAATTTTTAGCTACAATTTCAGTGTGTACTTGTAAAAATTACATTTTGTTTAATAAACAGCTTATAAAAATACTCAACTTATCCAGACTTAAAGGAATAAAATAAAATGTGTAAATTACGCCTTTTAGAGGGACATATGTTTTAAATAATGCCTATTCAGAAAGCAACATGATACTCTTCAGACCACAGGCAGTGAGCACCCCAGAGAAATTTGATCATCTAGGGAATAGGTATGGGACATTTTTATCTAGACTGAGAATATAAACTGGCCAGAATTCAGTGTAGGGATCCTTTAACATACTAACACACTACAGGTTACATGAAGTTTTAAAATGAGTCAGTATTAAATGGAAATAACCTTTAAATTCACATGTACTTTGCCTCATGGGAAGGACTTTTTTCTACTCCATCCATTCTGATAAAATAACATTTTATATTTTCATTTTTCCAGGTAATTTTTAAAATTGTGATTTTTAAAAATTAACATTGAATTCACCATTTCAACCATTTCTGAGCCTATAGTATGAAATAGTTTAAGTAATTCAGATGTCACTGTATAGTACTTTTTAAAAAAGATTTATTTATTTATTATGTGCACAGTGTTCTGCCTGCATGTATGTCTGCAGGCCAGAAGAGAGCAGCAGATCTCATTACAGGTGGTTGTGAGCCACCAGGTGGTTGCTGGGAATTGAACTCCGGACCATCTGGAAGAGCAGCCAGTGCTCTTAACTGCTGTGCCATCTCTCCAGGCCCTATGTAATACTTAATAGTTAAAGAAAGGCAAACATTTTAAGCATTAGAGATAGGCATCTATCACTATTATTATTAGACTGCCTTTAAAAACTATCATGAAAACATCTAGATAACAGTATCCCATACAGAGCATTCATTCATACATCATTGAACATCAACAGTTATCAACTTCATATCCACTGTGTCCTAGATAAGCTGTCATTTCATCTTTAATGTTTCAGTATGTATTCCTAACAGATCATTGCCACACCAAACAAAATGGACAGTAATTTTGTTTTATGCCTGGCTCAGCTTTTTCTAATTATCAAAGGGGAATAAGTGCCTTCTTATAATTTGTTAGATTCCAAAGAAATTTTATATTGGATGGTTCATAGGCCTTTAGTCTCTCATTGGTTAGCAAGCCTGTTTTTTGTTTTTCCATTCTTTGCCATTAATAACAAAATCTGGACCTTTTGATCCCATACAGTTTCCCACATTCCTATTTATTCTTATGGCAATGTTTACCTTTTTCTTTTCCCCTCCATCGTAGATCTTTAACCTGGTTAGATTGAAGTATCAATGGGGGGTGGGGGCAAGTGTACTCATAGATTATACTACCTTTTGAAAAAAATGTCCCTTTTTCACTAAAGCTAATTTTCACCCATTTTTCATTACTAGACAAGCATATTAACAGACATTCTATGAACGTTTTTGGCTGTACTATTTAGTACTAAATGCTAAATCCCTTCATTTAGATTTTAGTTGTGTGACTATCAGCTAATATTTTTTTGAAATGCTTTCTTTAAATCAGGCATTGAGCCTTAAACTCAATATCAGCACATAAAGGTAAGTACTACTATTTTTGTTTCCCAAATATGGAAACAACAGGTTTTAAGTCATTTAAGATTACACAATATAGTGAATTTCCTACCATTCTGCCTAACATTCTAAGGATTCCTGATGTAATATAATTTTTCTTTTCCTTGTTTTGTGCTGTCTCCTGATTAGGATGCAAAAGTAAGTTTATTATCCGATAACAAAACCTTAAATTGTTTTCATCTATTAAAGTAACAATGTTGCTTTCTAATTACAAAATTGCTAGTAATAGCTGACCTATATGGCCCTTTTTAAATTTTTGCAGTGTACAAAATTGACCGGTTTGGAAAATTTTAAAATACCTTTTTTAGATTTGGCAGATTTGGCTTTGACATTTAAAAACAAATATTCATTCTTGCATTAAGACGAAAAAGCCTTTTTTTTCCATAGTGTTTCCATAGTGTATGACACCTTCACCAGTGCCAGTGGTTGCCCAATGGAGGTCTGGGATGGGGTCTGTGTCTAAAGCATTGCAGTGGACAGTTAAGGGAAAACTACACAAGACATTTTCTTTAGATAAGTTGTGACAAGACGAAACATTGAAAGTGTTAGATGACCCATTAGAACTTGCGGGGAAGGGGCTTCCTTTTTGGAAGACATTTTGAATTTTAATGTTTTAGATAATATTTTCTGTATATAATTTCATACATTGCTAGTCAGTTTACAATGGGCTTGATTGCTTTTTGTGTAATACCAATGGTGCCTGGCACATGGGTCAGTAATTAGGTATTTAGTAAATGCTGAAAACATTCTTCTGTGTTTTAAGCACAAATCTTTGAAAACCATTGGCTATCACTAGATTGCTCCTGTGACCCCAAATTGCCTTCTTTATTCTAAAAATGAGCCCCTTCATGTGAGCTTTTCATATTCTTAAGTATATCTCCCTGTTTCTGCTTACCAGAGTCTCACATTTTTCCTCCACAGGAAGCTGAAACCCCACGTAGTGTTCTTGAAGAAATTGGACTGACATAACTGTCCTCCCTTGCTGATGACTTCTTGTGGCATTTCACATACTGTAGATGGTCACTGCCTCTCATGTCCATGTTAGCTAATGGTGTAAGATGATGTCTTGTCAGTATTACTGTCTTGCTAAGCTGCTTCATTCAGGCCTACCCAATTTTTTAAAGGGAATTTTGGTTAATCAAATGATAAATTAAGGGACATAAATATGAATTAGAAAGATGTAGAAAAAGTAACATACCATTTCTGGACATTTTAATTATGACCATATATCAAAATGATATGTCTATATTCATGTATATCCAACAATCTGGCAAAATACATTTACTACTGTACTTGAAAAAGGAAACAAATTATGTGAAACCTGGTTTGATGAAATACTAGAGTAGTATTTCAGTATATATAAGAATAAAGGAAATTGACACAGCACAGATCAAATGAAAGGTTTATTGAAAATTTAAGCAACCACATTGATATCAAAGACCCTTATTGGATACAACATACATTAAAACAAAGGGAATCGATGCTTTTAGAAAACTTGGAATGATGCTATGTTACACTAAAATTCATTAAGTATTCTGAATGAGGGGGACAAGGTCAAAGACATTCTTAATCTTGAGCACATAATTTTTAAGGCCAAGGAACTTGTGACTCCTGAGGTGAAGTTTTAATGGTCATAATCATGTAGTTACTTAATTGTTTTCAAGGCCCCAAAACAAAATAGGACCGTTAATTACCAGGTATTCTTCATAACAGTATGTTGTTCTCTTCACAAAGTATTATATAAAGTCATTATCTAAAGCATGAATGTTCCTTCTGGGGTGCTTGTTAAAGCCAAATTCATTTTTGCTTCCTGTTGCTTCCTTCCAACTAGAATTGCTACAAACATGACGGCAGCTCCCTTTCCTTTCATGTCACTGCCCAGTCATCAGAAGTCTTGTGGAAATTTAAACGATACCTTTCGTATAGCCAAGTGAGAGTTGAGTGAAGTAAATGGCATTAGTTGGCCCTATATTTTTTCAAGCTATATAAATGCTCGGCACCACTTTTATACATCCTGACACATCCCTGAACACATCTCCCTGGTTTCTACTTCCCCTTGTATGTGCTAGGCTGGAGTAAGCTTTGCTGTGATTGTGAACAACCTTTGAGCCGCCTGAACACTGTCTTATCACATCACCAATTAATGGTAATAAATGTTCTACAAACACTGTGGTGTACTTTTATCTCTTTCCAGATGTTCTGTCAAACGAGGCAGAGCTGTTGAAGGAAGGGTTCTTTTTTTTCCAATAGTGTTGACAATCCCTCTCCATCTGACAGTCCACCCCCCTGCACTGGAATGTGATGGTGGTTGAAAGCACACACAAAAATGACAAAAGGGTAGGAAATTTCATGTACATCAAGCTCATTTTAAAAAATCACATTAATTCTAGGCTATCAAGAACTTACAACACATTTATTTTCCATTAATAAATGCCGCTTTTAAAATCTTGATGCAGTTGCCTTTTAGACACTTTCTGATTTAGCAACTCAGATTACTCCAGATAATTGGATATCCAAATGATGAATCCTCACCTCCTACATATGAGGAAGTGCTAGCACATGCAATAGATGAATTTGCTGACTGTGCTGCCTAATGTAAGCAACAAGTCAAAACTTCCAGTTACAGTAGTAGTATGGTTATGGGGCCTTCTGCTACTACAAATAGAAATTGTTTCATTCAAAGCTTAAGATAGTTAAGAACAAGGAAAGGATTCTCAGCAAATTAAGTTGAAACAGACATCTGTAGGTTTACATGGGCTTTGAGGAATGCAGCTGTTCCCTAAAAGACCTGTGGGCTCCTGTCAGAAATGTGGAGTTTATCACACACATGCATGGGCACCCATTTATTACAGTAAATGTAAGCTCAAAGTCACTTCAGGGTAATCACCCAGTCAGCGTTTTCTAAACTTCCCCGGCACTCAATACTGGCCAACAAACATCTGAGGGGAAAGTCACCACTTCATCAGTTGTCTTAAGCAAAAAAGACAACTTTCCTTTCCCTTCCCATCATGATCCTAAGACCATGGACTGGGGATATACCTCAGTGGTAGCCCCCTTGCCTACCATGTTTGAAGCCCCAGCATCATACATACAAAACAATTTTACATAGTCTTGGCTGAAGTTTGATCAGTATTTTTTAAAAAATACCAAATTTACTTAAAACTATTCAGCATTAATGAGCCCAGTAAATCTAGAAATCCATCGTTTTTAGTATGAAGCAGGCATTTAGAATTTAAACAAATTGCATTTTGTTAAACTTTTTCAACGTTTTATGCCTTTTTTAATAAAATGAGGCAGGGTCTTATTCTAGCCCTGGCTGGCATCAGCCTCCCCAGTGCAAGAATTACTGGAGTAAGTTACTGCACATGACTTGTATGCATCCTTAATGAATTCTCAAATGTCAGACTGCTAAATACCACATGACACTGAATTTTGTGGTCCATAGCATGACAGTTGAAAGTCTGAGAGGAGAGTTATTGGGAAAGCTAGGGATAATATACGTGATCCTACAATCAGTTCTCTTCGCTCATCACCCTTCTGTGATTATTATACCATGACTATTTTAACAGTGCATGGAGCTAATAGTGACAATTCATTTTCTGGGAAATGACAAAATGCCTCTATATAAAGAACTTTCACAATACACTATTCAAACAAGATATGCACCATGACAGCCCCCAAGTGAAGGAGGAACTGTAAATATGGGGAAAGAGAAATATGGAAGAGTACTTCAACACTTTGAAGCAAGAAATAAGTTTGCAAACAAAAAAAAACTTCTGCTCATAGAAAAAATATAGTATTTTAAAAGCACAAAAAGAATGGCCATTAAGTAGAAAAATAGTGAGAAAAATAAACACTTAAATACCTAAAACTTGCCAAACTGTTAAAGATCAAGATAATTTAGCACTGTGGGAGCTGTAAGATGACCTTTTTTGTAGTCTTCCTGGAAGACTTTCTTGATATAGTTTATTTTAAGAAATTGATCAAAAAGTACAGAAATCATTAAGGAAATCTAGGAGGGTTATCAATAGGGATGTTGTCAAAGAAGCATAGATGTATTAATGTAGTGAGTAAAAAGAATTATGGGACAAAAGAATCAGGATTGATGAAATGAAACAATTGAGTGAAAGACATTAAAGCAATATGTGACTTTCAGTTAAAAAATAAAGTGTGTTAGGCTGGAGAGATGGTTCAGTTGTTAAGAGACACTGTCTTCTGGCCTCCATGGACACTAGGCACACAAGTGGTCCACACAAATACATGTAGGCCAAATACCCATATGCATAGAACAAAAATAAAGGGTATGGAATGGACACTTAACAAGAATAAAGCCTCATGACCTCAGTGCAATTCCTGGATCTCACTGTAATTAATCCTGAAAACTGTTCTCTGACCTCTGTACTTGTGATACACTTACATAGAGAGGAGAGACAGAGAAATACCGAAAATGAAAAAATACTAAAGCATTACTCCAGTGTTAACTGATGCTCTCAAAGTTAGGACTACAAGTAATTTCATGTTGTTATATACACAATTTATCAAAAAGTACTACTTACATGATGTTTGACTAGCCTTGTCAAACTATACAGGTGAGTAGCTGCCATAAAAAGACAGAATATTTTTTAAAAACCAAGTTTATTTAGATTTGGGACTCTGGGTAGTTTTGTCTCGACTACCTGACTTTCTCCTGCCATGACTCCTGGACCTTGATGAGCTCCGGCTCCGGCTCCGGCTCCGGCTCCGACTCCGACTCCGGCTCCGGCTCCGGCTCCCGCTCCGGCTTCGGGTCCGGCTGTGGCTGTGGCTCCGACTCCGGCTCCTGCGGCACCGGCTCCGGCTCCGGCGGCTCCTCCGAGGGCCTGGACTGTGATCCCTTCTTCTTCCTCTGCTTTGTGAACTGCGCCTCTCACGACTTTTCGCGGCGTGCTTGTGAGACTTCTTCCCCCTGTGATTACTACTGCTCTTCCTGTCGGGCTCACCGTTTCTCTTGTAGGAGAGGTCTGGACTCAGGCTCCTCCGTCTTCTTGACCTGCCATAGTATTCATCATAGTGGCTGGTCCTTTCCCTCCTCTCTAAATTCTTACCGAAGGAGGAGCTAGTCCAATCTGGAGACTGGTAGATGTCTCTGTTGGCTTCCCTAAATTCATTGTTGGGATTTCTGAACACGTGAAGAAAGTTGCAGTGTTTTCCTCTTGGACACTGCTGTACTTCAAATAAGCCTGTGAGGGCAAGTGAAGAGGCAGTGATTATCAGTGTGCATTACTGCACTTCATTCTTGTTCTGAAATCAGAAGGTGATTTCTGAAGTCTGGGTAAGTTTGCACTGTTTCTTACGGTATATGACGTAGATAAATTGATGTCCTCATTTGGTGCCTAAGATTGCAAGAGCACTCGAATACTTAAGGTACCATAAAAAGGGTACAAGCTAGTTTTAACTAACCAGAGCATCTGTGCCTCATGTCAGCCGAGTGCAACTGAACAAATGGTGGCTACATCATCCACTGATTCAAGAACTGGATTTTGAAATCCCTATATTCGCATTTTCCTGAAAGTATATGCTGGTCAGGAGAAGGTCCAACATAGATGGTGGGATCCTGCAATGTTCTATACATAAGAACATTAATACCCAGGTATGAGAGCACACTTATGTCCACAGCCTGGGGTACATGAGGTCCTGTCTCTCAACACAGACATGCAAAAAAGAGAAAACAAAAAAGAAAGAAAACCTTTGTGGCTGAAGGTAAATAAAGTAAAACGATGAAATAGTATTTGAAGATGACCTCTGTGATCAGGCACTGGTATATAAAATCTATCAAGAATTTCTATAGCTGAATAATAACAAGATGTAATGTGATTTAAAATGGGCAATTATCTAAATAGAGATCTCTCCAAAGAACATATACCAAAAGTCAATAATAAGGACACAAAAAATTTATTAGTCCCCGAGAAAGATACTAAAGCTGTTTATATTTTTTGTCATTGATGTTGTTGTTGCTTTTAATAAGATTCCTGGTTTGGAGGTTTCAAAGTTGTATTCAAGCATATCACTGGAATCACACTACATCTTGAGGAACTAACAAAACTAAATGCTTATAGAGAGTACCCTGTCATCTTGCTCATCTGCCCGACCCTTAAACTTAGGGCATAATGTTGGTTCTCATTTTCCTAAGCGAGGAATTCTAAAATTGTGTACGTGCGCGTGCATGCGTGCGTGGATGTGTGTATGTGTGTATTCAGGGTTTCTCTGTGTAGCCTTGGCTGTCCTGGAACTCGCTCTGTAAACCAGGCTGGCCTTGAACTCACAAAGATCTGCCTGCCTCTGTCTCCCACGTGCTGGGTTTAAAGGTATGCACCACCACTGTCCAGATTTTTTTTTATTTTAAAACTTGTTAAGGTTTATTTATTTTATGTAAATGAGTGTTTTGCCTGCATTATGTATGTACACCATTTTGCCTGGTGCCCATGGAGCTCAGAAGAGGATGTCAGAATCCCTCTATAAGAACAAGTGCTCTTAACCACTGAGCCATCTCTCTAACCCCTCCTTTTTGACATTTGTTATATTAATTAATCAATTAAGTAGTTTATTTATTTCAAGCCCAAGCTGGCCTTGAACTGACAATCCTCGTGTCTTTACCCACCCCAGTTTTGGAACCAAAGGTGGCATCATGCATGCCCATCATAAATGTGTTTTTAAAATGGCAGCATTTAACAGAAGGCTGCTAAAGATTTAGACTTGCTTGATAAAAAGCACCTGAGAAGGAAGAGCAGAGAAAACAAGAAGCACACCCCTGAGAAATTAGAGCTTCATGTCTCTTCACCTGGGGAACTTCCATACTGCTTTGGCTAAGCACACTGTTAGCAATCAGAAAATGATGAGGCCTTCAAAGCGGCTGGTTACTCTCTGCAGTGCTGACTCATTTCCTGGTTTGGCTGCCGATCTCAGATGAGTCAGTGTAACTGAGAGTACTCAATGTACAACTTAACACCTACCAAACGGTCTCAAATGCACAAGAGCATGACTTCAAGTAATGTGGGAAATGTCAGCCACTGGTAATGTTTGGGGCGTTGATGATGGAAGATTCCTTAGGGATCAAGGCTGAAGAGAACAGCTCAAGTGAGGAGAACCAACGAATAGAAAACACCTTTGAAACTGCAACACGGATATATGTGGGTATCTTTAGTTTAGACACTGCATTGTCACACACAGAACCCAGGTCTGAGGATCTGAAGACTCAAATTCAAGCTGCAATTCTGTCACCAATGTATTGTGACCTCAGTCATTCATTCCATCCATATAGTGACCCACAGGCCTATACAGATCTAAACCGTGGTGTCCTTTATATAACCACTCTGCTCATCTGTAGTATGAGACAAAAACTGTACTTCATCCCTTTAAAATATTGCTTTCTTCCTATGAAGATTCCCTTGTATATTGCAGCAGTGGGGGAGGGGTGCCACTACATTGGCGTTTACCACAAATTGCCATTTTCCAACGGGTCACAGGGCAGAATTCACACTGAAGCTGTCGTCCTGCATACCATCGTCCATTAAAAAGAGAAAAAGCTGCTTGACAGTCTTCTTCCCTTGGAAGCAAAAATCAAAGGTTATGCTTTTAACTCTCACAGGTAGAGCAAACCTATTCTGAATTAACCCTCTTGTCTATTTACTGTAGGACTACCAAGTTTAGTTCTTGAATTGCCTGGGAAGTCTTCATCATATTCAGGTTCCCACAGGCTAGTTTATTCAAAGACCTTTGTCATTAACCTTCTGAAAGTTTTTGTCATAGGGAAATTGGCTGGAGTCAAAGTTTCTTAATCTGCAAGACTGGACCACTAAATCTGCAGAAGTGTGTTTCCTTTTGTTAGAACCCATGCTTTCTCAACTAGGACTACTATTCTTATTACAATAGCTAACTGAAGCCATTAGCCATGGCACCACTTAGAGAAATGGCAATACATGCAGAAATGATACAGGAACTACATTGCTAGCTGGTCAAATGCACACTGTTTGGAGCTTTAACCCCCTGTATCTTGGATAGATATTTTCTACGCTATTCTAATTAGGCCTTTTTCAGTTTGTATGAAAAAGTATATTATTTTCAATCTTGCTGTTTCTCCATGAGCTCTTCATATTGACGTTTTGAAAAGTCTCATGCATAGGAAAGCTACATATCCAGTGACAAAGAAACACAATACCGTAACTATGATGAACCATGAAGATGCATGTATGTTCACAATACTTACGACTGGTACTGAACATACACATTGCCCCTCAGATGAGGTTCCAAGTTGCAGCTGACCTAAGGAACAAAGAATGCTGTCACTAAAAGAAAAAAAGTTTTCAAAAGAAGCCAATCATCAAATGCATTTTTTTCCCGGCTAATAGTCCCCCAGAGAGTCCACAATAGGCTAGCAAACTTTCTTATCAAGTCAAGGCATAGCTAAGCACCTATCAACATTGCAGACCTCAAATGCCTAATCTCTGGTGATCCTTGTCTGCCGTTTTTAAACCCTAAATGTATGAAATGCTTCATAGCTATATAAAAACAGAGTACAAGGTTGGAGAGATGACTCAGCAGTTAAGAGCACTTGTTATATGGGGGGCAGGACGCTTCTGTTTGGAATATACATGTATATTATGTGTGTAGACTTTTACAGACACATGTACTTATATAGATATACATACATATGTGCCAGAAAATAAAAATATCATATACATAAATATCTGCTAGCCAAAATGGTACATATAATAATTATGTACATGTATACTAATTCAGGTGTGTCTAACACATAGCCTCCCATGAGCCACATGTCAACAGTTATGAGTGTGGCTCAACACAAAAATCACAGCACTCAGAAGGCAGAGGCAGGTGGATCTCTGTGAGTTCAAGGCCAGCCTGGTCTACAGACTACATAACGATACCCTGTTTTGAAAAACCAAGGAAAAAATATTCCTAATAGTGTTTAGCTTTTATCTTCAAAATAAAGCTACAATGTTTAATTTAGGGTGTTGTTATTAGAACATCAACAGGATCCTATTCTATAATACCATCTTTAGAAAGAAGGATAAATGGCCTTAGGAGTTCATGTCAACCATGCCTAGGGACCTTAAAATTCATTTAATCTTAGTCAAGCTTGGTGGCACATGCCTAAAATCCCAGTAATAGGGAGGTGGAGGCAGGAGGACTACTACAAGTTCTAGGCCAGTCTGAGCTGCAAAAATAAAAAGTGGTACAGCACTTTTCCCAGCATGTAAAAGGCCTTAGGTTCAATCCTCAGAACCACGTAATGGCAACAATATTAATAATTTAGACGCATGGTTCCTAAAGATCTACTGATTTTCTATAATGAATTCGATGTTGTGATCATTTCTGTAGCACAAATTAACTAAACAGCTTTCTTTTCATTGGTAGCAACTGTCAATGTGGTTAGCATAAACCCTATCATCCTGTTTGCTTTCTAGAAAAAAAAAGTTGTGGTAAGTAGATACAGCCTGCTACACGTAATAATACAACTTCCACTAACCTTGAAACCCACCATGCCTACCTACCCCACTGTGCTGGGGACAGAAGCCAGAGCCTTGTACATGCGAGGTAAGCACTCTATGACTGAGCTACCATCTGGAGTTCTAAAAACGCTTCATCGTTACCACTTCATAGAAGTGGTAGGATCCAGGAGCCCTATGAGGGAAACCACAAATCTCACTATTGAGATAAGGAAGAGGCACACAGAGATAAAGGGACATCTGAAGAGCAGACACAGCGCCTCCGTGGCTGGGCCTTGCTTCCATGTAGAACAATGCAGACATGAGCACATACTTCCACTTTATTGTATGCTCTTAGAAGTGAGCAGGAAGGATATGCCACAGAAATAAAGTTTTGAGAAAATTTTTAATTTGTTCTACACTTCTTTATGTGAATGCCATGCTCACGTCACAATGTGACTGTGTAGGTCAACTTTGCAAGAGTCAGTTCTCTCCTAACACCATGTAGGTCTTAAGATTGAACTGGGGGCCGGGTGTTGGTGGTGCACGCCTTTAATCCCAGCACTCGGAAGGCAGAGGCAGGCGGATCTCTGTGAGTTCAAGGCCAGCCTGGTCTACAGAGCAAGTTCCAGGACAGCCTCCAAAACAATACAGAGAAACCCTGTCTCGAAAAACCAAAAAAAAAAAAAAAAAAGATTGAACTTGGGTTGTCAGGCTTGGTGGCAAGTGCCTTTACTCACTGAGGCATCTTGCCAGCCCAAAAGGAAAACAGATTTTTATTTCTTTTATTAATTTAAGTTTTATTTTTTTAAAAAAGCCTACTTCCTTCCCCCATTTACCCCATATCCTAGTTTCCCCTTTATCTCTTTATAACACTATGTTCTATTTCTCCTTCTTTGGAAAACAAATTTTAAAGAATATATTTTAAATCTGGAAAGCTGTGGTTATATATATTTATGATTTATTAACGCTTGCCTGAGGGTACAGAAAGCAAAGCTAGCCATAAGCCATAGAGTCAAGCAATACTGATACACACCTTTAACCATAGCAGTAGGGAGGTGGAGACAGGAGTGACATGGCTGAGTGGAGAGAGGAATATAAGGGAGAGGAGACAGGATCTTAGAGGGTAGCAGTGTGTGGTTTGGTGGAGAGCAGTGCACTCTGAGGCTGCATGCAGACAGCATCATCCATTTTGGTCTGAGGTAGAGTTAGTGGCTAGCTGCTTTGCTTCTCTTACCATCAGGCAAGCTTTAATAAATCATAAATAATGTATCACCACAGAAAACAAATTTTAATCTCAGATTTCTTATATCTATGGTGCTTGGTTACTCCAACTCTATAATTTCATTTCTGACAGCAAGAAAAAAAACCCTACAACTTTATTCCTACTTTTCTCCAAAATCAGGGACATTTCCCTTGTCCTCATATAACAATGTAATTCAGAGCTCAGATATGATCAAATCACAGACAAGCAAGAAGCCTACAGATTGGGATTCACCCAGTAAGTCCCAGGAACAGCAGTGGCCACATCTCACCTTACTCAGGGAGTGAAATTGAATGACAATATATATACCATTGTCTGGGTGAGGTACTGGAAGTGAGAAGGACAGGAACCATGTCCATCACAGACAGTGGCTAAGTGAAGGCTTAGATAGCTAGATACAGCAGGCCTGACAATGAAGTCAACTGGAAACAGTTGCAGCACAAAGACATTGAATAAGGGTCCTTTTCAACCCAGGCCCTAGCATTCCAAAAACATGCTAACACATGCTTATGATTCCCTATGGTATCTACATGGCATTGGCCAGAGTGGAGGTAGAAGGGAAGAGAACTGAGTGACGTTTACCAAGTGCTGGCATGCTCAACCCCAGACCAGGCATGTACTGGCACATGACTCCACCCAGGTGAACAGCCTGAGTTCATGCTCTGCCCCTGTATCCTATATTTCATGGAAAGGTGTGTCTGATCCCCCCCCAGCCTGTGCGCACCTTAAACTGGACCACTTTTCCCACGTTCTTGAACTCGGGCAGGACATCGTGATAGAAGTCTAGGAACTGCTGATAGGTCTCTTCTTCACTGTATTCTAGGCTTGAATCGGGGTCATAGTCATCCCTCCTGCACTGTTCCATTCCAAACGTGGTAAACATGCTCTTAATAAGCAAGGTGGGACTTGATGTAGGGAAGTTGTGTTTACGTGAGCACCTGGAGAAAGCAAGCAAATTCATTTGTCCAAGAACTAAAAATCACGCATGAAAAGCTTACCAAAAACTCCGAGATCAAGAATCAAATAATGTGGTTGTTTAAACTTAACTAAGATAATGAACACTGATTAGATGCCCAGTCACAGCACACACACACACACACAAAAACTGTCCTAAAATTGACTGTTTCTCATTAAAACACAAATGTGGGAATGGTTTGCAAGGTCATACACCATTCAGGAGCCTTTGAATATATTCAGAAAGATTTCTCCATGTTGAGCCACAGGGAAAGAAGGCCCAATAGTGTGACCAATTGCAGTAGCGGGAATAATAAGATGCTGCAATGGAGACTCAAGGTGAGAATTGGCAATGTAATTTTGATTGTACACAATTTTCAACTGATTTGCATGCTTAGGGAATACAGTAATCTGGAGCTGTGAGACAGCTCAGTGGGTAAAAGCACTTGCTGCATAAGTAAGTCGGGTGATCTGATTTGATCCCTGGATCTACTTTTACATATTCTTTTCTCCCTTCTTTCCTCCTTCCCTTCCTCCCTCCCTCCCCCTCTCTCCCTCCCTCCCTCCTCCCCCCCTCTCTCTGTCACACACACACACACAAAATAATAATAAAAAATTTTAAGATGAACATGGTAGTGAACACTTTTAATCCCAACACTCATGAAAGCAGAGGCAGGCGAATCTCTGAGTTCTAGGTCAAACTGTTCTACATAGTTCTACATAGCAAGTGCCATGCCAGCCATTGTTCCAAGGTGAGACAGTCCCTCAAAAATAAATACATAAAATAATTTTAAAATTCAATTTTCTAAAGAGACAATAGGGTAATCTAAAACTTTCGATTTACTCAAATATTGCCATCTTATCTACATATAGCATTTTAAAGTTTTCATGTTGTTTAAAATATTTTTTCCACTCTGATCCTTAACAACCTGGTGGGACAGATGGTACTATTATTTTCTTTTTGTTTTGTTTTGTTTTGTTTTACGAGACAGGGTTTCTCTGTATTGTTTTGGAGGCTGTCGGTCCAGCCCAGCCTCGAACTCAACAGAGATCCGCCTGCCTCTGCCTCCCGAGTGCTGGGATTAAAGGTGTGCAACACCACCGCCCAGCGGTACTATTATTTTCTTACTTTGCCAAGTGTGATAGTTAGTGTTCATTTTCAACTTGACCATCTAGAATCAACCGAGAAGGAGTTCTAATGAGGGACTATCTAGAGTAAAGCTATCCTCTGAGAAGGTCAGTGAGGGATTGCCTTGATACTCTAATTGATTTGGAGAAACCCATTTTAATCATGGGTAGGCCTATTCCCAAAATGGAGAGGTCAAACTGCGCCTAAGCATGCAAGCTCTCTGCTTTTGCATTGGCAGTAAGTAACGTGACTAGCTGCTTCAAGTTCCTTCCACCATGGTTTCCCCACAATGATGGACTGTAAACTGGAATTGTGAGCCAGATAAACCCTTTCTCTCTTAAATTGCTGGATATTTTACCACAGCAACAAGAGTCAGTCAACAAAACACAAAGGCAGCTGAAACCTAAAGAAGCACACCTCTCAAGTCATGTGACTGAGAAGAGCCTGACCCTAGAGATCTGGTTAATCTGACATGTGCTCATTATAGAGTATAATAAATATAACTTAATTTTTATTCACTGAAGGTACCTAATAACTGTGAAGAATCATTTCTTTTCATAGTTTAAAACGAACCAAGGCTAAGCTGGATAGGCTATTCCAGAGTAATTTTTAAAAAATCAAATATATGAGTTTACTTTCTTATTTACTGCTTTCTCCTGAAGTGCGCTGATGAGAGGAGTCACACAGTTCAAAGTCCTAAATATTTCCTTCTTTGGGTTCTAATTAAATATCAGTAAGACAGGGCAGTGGCGGCACACGCCTTTAATCCCCAGCACTTGGAAGGCAGCCTGGTCTGTTGAGTTCCGGACAGCCAAGGCTACACAGAGAAACCCTGTCTCAAAATCCAAGCAAAACAACAAAAAAAATCAGTAAGACAAACTTAGGGAAAGAAAAACTTAGGAAGAAATTTATAGAGTGGGGAATACTGCAAGGGACAGAGGGATACAATGGCCCTTGTCTGGACAGTGGCCATCGTGGTCTATATAGTGAGGTCTAGGCCACCCTGGACTAGACTAAACACCCTGTTGCAAAACAACAAATTGTAATTAAGGTGTCTCCCATAGCCTAGCACCCAACCTTAATCAGAGAAACTTCTTTTTGTAGTGGTTAATAACTAGTCAAAGTGTTGAGAAAAAGTGCCTGTTGAATGTTCACCTCTAAACTGCTCCAAGGTCCCTGGAACATCACAAGAGGAATGAAAAATTGTAAGAGGTGGTGGATGGGATTGAATGTTGTAAAACACTGTTTCCTGGATGCAGCATGGCCGCTACATTCATGAACTCAAAGCATCTATGATTCATGAATGCCACGAAGCTAAGGTTGCAAGATGTGGTAGCTTGAATGAGAATGGACCCCGTAGGCTCATATATTTATATACAGGGACTAGTTGATAGACTGTTTAGGGAAGGATTAGGAGGTGTGGCCTTGTTGAAGGAGGTGTGTCACTCAGGATGGGCTTTGAGGGTTCAAAAGCCCACACGAGGCCCAGCCATCTGTCCATCTGTCTTCCCCTCACCCTTATGGCCTCTGGATTAGGATATAAAGCACTTGACTACTACTCCATCACCATGTCTGACTGCTTTCCACCATGATGATAATGGACTAATAACTCTTTGAAATTTTAAGCAAGCCCCCAATTAAATGCTTTCTTTTATAAGAGTTGTCTTGGCTTGGTCTTGGTCTGTCACAGCAATAAAACACTAAGACACAAGGCCTGCATAAAATCAAGCCCATCAACATTCTAGCATTGATAGGGGTGAGGTACTTAAGACCTTGTCCCTAGCAGTCAACAGCTGCTAGGGTTGGGGGACTTCCGGGATAGAGTTATTGGTTAAGTTGCTAATGGCCCAGGAAATAACCTTGCACATGCAAGCAACACTAATTATACTCAGTGGACTGTTTAAAAAAGACATGAAAACAGAAGGAGGATGTATTGGAAAAAGGATCCAGAGGGAATGGAAGCAGGGTTAGATGGTAAAGGTGAACATGACCAAAATACAGTATAGATATGTATGAAATTGTCAAAGAATTTTAAAAAACCTATAACTAAAAGGTTTAACAAACAGAAGCAAGAATCCAAAGAAATGCTTAGGTTAAGTAGTGTTACTCTGCCTGGCATGCTATTTATATGTCTATAATCCTAGCTACTCAGTTCGACCTGGATTATAGACTTCATTTTTTAAAGGAAAGAAAGAGAGGTGTTTCTCTGGTATCTGACAAACCTTAATAGAGATGATCCAGCTGTGTTATTTGGAGCAAGTGATCCAATCTCTCCAGAAAAGGGAAACAGAACAGTCTATTTGTCTGAAAGGACAGTGTTGGCTTTTATAACCACTAATTTCAAGCTCGTTACTTGAACAATGCAAACAGCCAAGTTCTTCACACACTTTGATAGTTATGATGGTAAAGTCTCATATGCCTATGACAATGATAAGAAATGGTCACAAGTCAGGCAGTGGTGGCTCAAGCTTTAATCCCAGCACTCGGGAGGCAGAGGCAGGTAGATCTCTGTGAGTTCAAAGTCAGCCTGAGCTACAGATTGAGTTCTAGGACAGGCTCCACAGCTACAGAGATACTCTGTCTCATGAAACAATAAAAAAAGAAATGGTCACAATCTGATTGTATTTATTTATTTTTGAATGCCTGTCATACATGGCATCTGGCAGGCTACTCCATTTTCCACAAGGAATTACCTGTTCAGTGTTCATAAAACTATTTAATATGCCTGTCCTCTCACAACCAATAGAACTCCTGAATCTGGCTTCCACAGGTCTTAAATTTCAAGGAAATTAGAGACGCATCATAAATAGGAGCAGCTGGAAAACCTTAAAGGCAGCTTGGCTCAACTACCCATGCAAATATGAACTAAAATTAAGGCTCATTTATCACTGGAAGGCCATCTGTCCAACATCTTTCTTTAGTGGGAGGTGTTTTATACAGATCATTATTTATTTTGTGTGTGGTTGCAGCCATGCCACAGCACAAGTGTGAAAGTCAGAGCACCATAGTAGGAGTCAGTTATCTCCTTTCAGCATGTAGATCAGGGATCAAATTCAGGTCACCAGACTTTGCAGCATGCGCCTTTACCCACTGAGCCATCTCACTGGCTCTTAGGCAGATCATATTTTACTATTTCTTCTTGAGACTGAATTTTGTCTCAGACAAAATGTTTCTAAAGGTACCAAAGGAATGTAGCCTCCTTCCCTCAGTTTCACAGCTCCTCAAAAGAAGCCTTTCTACTGCTTACCAGACGTCAAGTCCTTTCACAGACATTCTGGCCACCCACAATTCCACCATCAAATCTAATACCTGAAGGCATCACAAAACTAGAATTACTTCAGCCTCTGAAATCCAGAATTACTCAATTTGAGGTGAGATTGATTTTGTTTAGCCTTTTCCCTTTTTCCATGATTCTATCATGTATCCAAGGTTGAGAACTACTACTGTCTTTTAATTGTGAAAAAGACTTTAATGGTATCTATGTGTACTTGTTGGGAGGATATGCCTGAATACAGGTGCCTGCCAAAGTCAAAGAACAGGGTCAGATCCCCTAGAGCTCGAGTCACAGTTCATTATGAGCTGCCTGATGTGGGTTCTGGGAACGGAACCCAGGTCCTTGGAAAGAGCAAGTACATGCTTCTAACTGCCAAGCCATCTCTCCAGTCCAAAACTATTATGGTTGAGAAATAAAAAATAAGCTGGGCATGGTGGCGCACAACTGTAATCTCAGCAGTTAGGAGGTGGTGGCAGGATGAGCAGTAGTCCAAAGCCAATCTAGGCTAAAAAGAGAGTTGAAACCCAGCCTGGGCGCCATGACACTGTCTCAAGAAACTAAATGATTACCAGGTGTGACGACGCACACCTTTAATTTCAGCATTCAGAAGGCAGAGGAAGATGGATCTCTATGAGTTCCAAGCCAGTTACACAGTGAGCCCCCCCAAAAAGAAAAGAAAAACAAAGGTTCAAATTATACCTTCTTTACCACAGAATGGGTACACAGAAGTTAGACTCCACCTCAGACAGATTTGCTTACCATTAGAAAGCATTTGCTTACTTTGACTTCTACAGAAAGTCGTACTACAAAACATCATCATTACCTGGCATATAGTAGGTTTCAACTATTTGCTAAACGACTGAAGACATCAATATTATGTTTCTATGTATCTTACCTTAAAAAAAGTAGGGCGAGAAGCATGACTATACCAGAAAATGGCAACAGTAACAACAAAAATAAGGAAAAACAAAAATTCATGAGCCATTTGTGCAGCCCTATGTGTTCCCCATGTTCATCCCATTTAAGGAGTGTCACTGTGTCCTCAAAAGGGTGCTACTGTTTCACCTTCATTCATAGATGAAGGAGTAAAGACCTAGAGAGTTAACTTTCCCACTGCCCACAAAAGCCAGTTCTGAACCCAGAGTCTGTTCCTATGTCTGAGGATATTGACCAACAGCATTGAATATTCAAAGCCTATTCCTGCCAGGTGGAGCTGGTTCACACCTTTAATCCAGCACTCTGGAGGCAGAGGCAGGTGGGTCTCTGTGAGTTCAAGGTCAGCCTGGCTACACAGAGAAACCCAGTCTCGAAAAAGAAAAACAAAACCTATTCCTTTACTTGGTACAATCTTGTCTTTCACAAATGTCCCTATAGCCATGGCAAACTTACCCTTGAAAAGATATTTCTGGCTACCCAAATCACTTCTGACATGTAATTTACCCCATCCAAGTTGCCAAGTTGTCCTCAGACTCACAGGAGCACAGAAGAAACCAACAAGCAAATGGTCTTCCTTAAGTCTCACTTGGGCATTCAAGCCATACTTAAAGGCAGGCCCCATGTCCAGCAGTAGATAGCCAACACAAAACAAATTCAGTGGCATTTTGGGAGTTTTTTTGTCTAGCAATGTTTTGTCTAGGCATTTTTTTTAATTTACAGGTCTTTTGTTTATATATTATGGTTTCTGGTTTTATGTTTTTATGGGATTTCTCTGTGTGAGAGTATGTATGTGTGTCTCTACATCTGTATCTGTATTTTTCATTGGCTCTTTTTCTGTTTATTTTATCCTATTCTGGTGTGTTTTTTACTTATCATTTAGATGTCTGTCTGTTTTCTTATATTTTTGGTTGTGAGCCTAACCTTTATCGGCTGAGTCATTTCTCCAGCCCTTCTGTCTGTTTTCTAATGAGAGAGAAGGAAAGGGTATGGATTCTAGTGGATGGGGAGGTGGGGAAAGATCTAGGAGGAGTTTTGGGAGGGGAAACCATGATCAGAATGTATTACATGAAAAACATTTTTTCAATTAGAAAGAAAAAAGAAACAAAAAGATTTCCCTATGTCTATGGAATGCAAAGGATTCACTCAGTTAAACCTATCTAGTGAGCAGGGCAAGGAAGCACCACATACCTGATGATGGAAAATTTCACACTGAAGCCTATGCCTCTTCCAAAACCCCGACACACTCCATCATTTCATTCTGACACAAAGCAAAATTCATTACCTATCGCCAAATCTGCAAGCTCCCGTTTTACTGTAGAATGGACAATTGGCTCGATCTTTCTCCAGTACTCTTATATCCGTGGGCGGTTCTGGGTTCTGCCAAGTGCCACCATTTTCCAACTGTTAAAAATAACCACGACTTTACTAGTTATGTAAAATCCCATGAAAGACTGTTTGCCCAAATAGTCCAATATTTTAATCTAGAACACAAATGCTTTCATATATAGACATGCATAGTTAAATTACAATAAGGAATCAAGACCTTATAGGTAATTGTTCATAAATATGAGCTGTACTTCTCTCTTGGCTCCCAATTTTCCTTGATTGGGGATTACTTAATGTTACCAGATGTAGTCACGAAGGTCTTCCTTCTATCCATCTAGTCTGAAAGGGTCCATGGACACAGGGAGCCACCAGAAAGAAGTACAAGTTACTATGAATCAAGGTGGGTGAACCAATCATTTGGGGCCAGTAGTATGTGATGCACATACATTTTCAAGAACTTGATACAAGCATAGTCCATGGGGTAATTCAATACCATCAATTGTCTTCTGTTGTTATATAACTAAATGGTTACAGAAGTGATTCCAGGTATCCAGAAGTAATCAAAACAACCTAACACAAAACTCATGGTATTGGAACTATTGTTCCTAATGAAATATCAATTGATCTCAATTTTTTAAGGCAGTATCTCCCTATGTAGCCCAGGCTCCTGCTTCAGCCTCCCCAGGGCTAGGATGACTGGAATATGCCACCTCTACCTATCTCAAAGTCTTAATGAAAGGTTTTGAAAATACCTCATTTTCAGCCTGATCCAGCATCTTCTGCACAGCTTCCTATAAGTGGTGCAAACATAGGACTAATGAAAACCAGGATGTCAGATAAGTCATGTCTGGTTTCTCTAGTTACTAATCTCATATATGACAACACACATACAAAAGGCTTCTGATTCTGATTTCCTTTCTAAGCATATATCTTCTAAAAAGCTTTCAAAAGATATATAGCTTAGAATTTTTATTCAAACACAAAATTTGAATAGAGCACATTGCAAATATTTAAGTCATAATAGCTTCAATAACATATCTATACATAAATACCACGTTCTAGTTCTTGAGATATTAATAACTATCTTTTAAAAGTTAGGTTAGATATCACAAATATTTAACAGAAGCAAAAACATGACATGATGAATAGTAAGGATTTAGGAGAAATTTTAAACCTTCAGTAAGATAAAGGAAATCCAACAAGTTAGCAATAAATCTCTAACTAGTTGGATTTAAATACATAGTTAGGTACCTTAGTCCCTTAAAACCATACATATGACTGAGTTTAGATGCTTACTTGGTAAATCTACCTGGACCTGGCAACTTAAAAATCATTGGTTTAGCCGGGTGGTGGTGGCACACGCCTTTAATCCCAGCACTCAGGAGGCAGAGGCAGGAGAATCTCTGTGAGTTCGAGGCTGGGCTGGACCCAAAGCCTCCAAAACAATACAGAGAAACCCTGTCTCGCAAAAACAAAAAACAAAACAAAAAAATCATTGGTTTAGTCAAACATGGTGGCCCACACCTTTAATCCCAGCATTTGGAAAGCAGAGGCAGGTGGATCTCTGAGTTCAAGGCCAGTCTGGTCCACACGGTGAGTTCCAGGACAGCCAGGACTGTTACATAGAGAAACCCTGTCTCGAAAAAAACAAAACCAAAACCAAAAAAAAAAGTCTTTGCTGCTTGATGTAATCAAAACAGGTTCTTTTGGGTTTGGTTTTGGCTAAGAGATGGAGATCAAACTCAATGTTTTACTTTTGACAATAAACTATAACTCACCCCCCTCCAAATGGAACATTTGATCTCCATTCGCTCACCCTCATCATCCAAACTTAATTATCCTCAGTAACAGGCGCTGCCATTCCCATTTTTTAAAAAAAAAGCAACACAGCAAACAAAAACAACACCTAAGAACAATTTCCATTCCCTTCTTTTTCCTTCTTCCTCCCATGAAATTTGCTACCTAGAGTTCTGTCAACTGTGTGTGCATCTGTTTGAAGCTCTGCCCCCATCCAAATCACCATCATCTCCTATCCAGATTGTAGTCGGTCATCCTATTTCCTCTCTGGCCCATGATCTTTGTAGAATAATTAGGATGATCTGTTGGAGGTAACATTTCTCACAGGATGAAGTCACTCTTGTTTAAAAACTCATCACCATATGGTAAATAAAACTAAACTTCTTTAAATCTAAGAGACTCCTGATCCTCCTGCCTCAGGCTCCCTAGCAAATCCCACAGAGTGCAACACCAACACAGTAATCTGGGCTCACACAACCTGGGCATACACAGACTGAAGCAGCAAACACAGGGCCTGCACAGGTCGTCACCAGGGCTTCTGTGCATGTTATGGCTGTTAACTTGATGTGTATGTGGGACTCCCAACAGTGGGAGCAGATGTACCTCTGACTCTTTTGCCTGCTCCTAGGACTCTTTTCCTCCCATTGGGTTACCTGGATGAGGTCTTTTGCTCTGTCTTATTGTATATTGTATTGCCCTGTATGACTCTTGTCTCTTAGAGGCCTGTTCTTTTCTGAAGAAGAAATGGAGGGGGAGTGGAGGGAGGGAAGCTGTGGCCAAGGCGTATTTTTGAGAAAAGAATGTATTTTCAATGAAAAAAATAAAGACCTAAGAGTCTCTGCATGGCCTGCCCCTTCTGATCCTCCCTACTTTCTCCCATGCCCTTTCCCTAGTCTCCCGTGACCTCTAAGTTCCAGGTACCACCAGGATCCTTCCTCCCAATATCCCTACACTCGAGTGATAATTATATCAAACACCACCTCCTCAGAGATTTCCTTGGCCAGGTAATCCAAATAAGTATCTTGATCCCCATCATTCTCTCAGAGCACTCTCCTTTATTTCTTTATAGAGCCTAACATTCATAATATATGATGTGTTTTCCTGACTTTCCCTCTGCCCTCCCTTCTAGAAGATACTCAAGTTGAGACTGTGCTTTTCACTTTGTCTCTGTCCACCCACGAGGGGTCAAGCACATAAAAAAAACACACATTGCATATTCCTTTATACATGCTTAGAATGGATTTCATTTTATCCACTTCTTAAAAACAAAAGCATTTAGAAGAAGCCTTAACTTTTACCTGATCCCTGAAAGTAGAAGAATATTCTCCTGTTAAAACAGGAATTGATTCATCTCTGTAAAGAACCGACAATTCTAACAATTGTTGTACCCCTGATATCCCCATTTGGATATTGCCTCATCTGGAAGGCAGTGCTCAAACAAGGGTGCCAAAACCTGCATTGAAGATGCCACCTGAGGCACAAAACTGGTTGTAGAGAATGCTGCTACCTTTCCACGGCTAAAGTGTAAACACATTTATCTCCCCCTCATTCTAAGATGAGTGACTATGGAAATGTCATGCCGTTCAAATTGGGTGATGCTAAAGAAAAAAAAGAATAAAGAATATTGTCATGAATCAGTCAAGGCAAGATGAGCTGTGTTATATTTGAAATCAATACACTGTTGAAGACCAGCAGGAAAACAGATCAATCTTGTAAAGAGAATCCCAAAAAAATGTACATGAAATATACATATACATTACAGAATTTCTTTTTTTTTGAAGCAATGATGGGGATTATTAAGGAAAGGGTTTTTAACACAGATTTAAGCATTAGCATTAAAGACAAGGAGAGAAACATGTAAGAAAGGGACAGTAGCATATACATGTCCTAGAGTGGGCACGGTTTCTCAAAGAGAATGTCCCCTAGGATTTCTTAAAAGACTGTCATTTGCTTTGACAACAAAGTAGACAGAACACCAGATTCAATAACAAAACTGTTTAATTCCTTAATTTCTAACATCCTGGTTCTGTTAAACTAATTCTTGCCGAGATGCCATTAGCCGTTACATCTCTTATGAATTAAGTGTGGAGACTATTTAAGATACTATTCTTCTGTGAAGAAGTCAACACATATACAACAGAACCATAGAAAAGTTAACACTTGCTACAGCGTGATACATAGTGTAAAGCAGGGCCAGTCGCCCGGTTTACAGAAATGGTTTACTAGAACACAGCCACATTCGTTCATAAACATACTATCTATGTCTGCTTTAGGGTACACTGGCAGAGCTGGATGTTCACAGAAGCCAGACAGACATCACAGCTTAAAATTTTGATTATCTATCCCTTAAGGAAAATGTTCACCCATCTCAAACACAAAAGGTAAGGTAACTTGGGTAAAGGAATCTGCCATTGCACGACCCAAAGAAGAGAACCATATGGAAGATAGTCTAGTGTATTTCTAACAAAAACTGACACTTTCCAAATGAACAGAGCACAAGCAAAAAATAAAACCAAACCCAAGCCCTGACATGCCCACTGCCGATTCCGCAAACCCTTCACATGCACACGTGCACACTAAGAAGGTACGCAGGGCTCTATCCTCCTATGATAGAAGTCACCTCTCTTTCTCTCTTCTCCTGTTGCTTCTGCTCCTCTTCCTCTCGCTCTTTTCTCTGCTGCTCTTCCCATTCTGCCTTTAACTTTCTCTATAAAGGGAAAAAGAAAAGGTCATTTTTTTACTCACACTTAAAAACATATAGCCTACAGAGCAAATAATTGAAAACTTTAGAAACATTGGCCAGGTGGTGCACGCCTTTAATCCCAGCACTCAGGAGGCAGAGGCAGGTGGATCTCTGTGAGTTCGAGACCAGCCTGGTCTATGAGAGCTAGTTCCAGGACAGCCTCCAAAGCCACAGAGAAACCCTGTTTCGGAAAAAAAAGAAAGAAAGAGAGACAATATCAGGTTTTTTTAAAGGCTAACATATGTAGCTCCCTTTTTGTTTACACAATGTTGAAGATGGAATTCAAGGCCTTGCACAAACTGGACAAGAGCTCTGTCACTGAGCTATATCCCCAACCCCAAGAAAAACAACTTTTTGAAAAAGAGATTTTATTTGTGTGTGAGTGTCCCTGTAAACGTATGTGCATGTGAGGATACACATGCAGAAGCCAAAAAAGTGTGGGATCCCTCGGAGCTCGTTAGACTGTTGTCAGCCACCATGTGGGTGCTGGGAACAAACCCAGGTCCTCTAGAAGAGCAGCCAGTGAGTACTCTTAACCACTGAGCTATCTCTGCATCCCCATAACTAACAACTCTTTCAATTGAAATTTATTTTATTTTATGTGTATTAGTGTTTTACCTGCATGTATGTATGTGTCTGCACGTGTCGGCCTTGTGCCTCAAAGGCAGAATATGCATGGAACTGGACTTCCAGATGGTTGTGATTCGCCATGAGGGTACTTGGAATCAAAGCCAAGTCATTCAGAAGGACAACCAGTGCTCTTACTCCCTGAGGCGTCCTTCTCTGCGGATGGCCAGCTCTTTATGAGAGTTACTTCAGTTAAGTACTTACTCAGTTAACTAACTAGCTCATACTCTACCTCTTGTTCTTCCTTCCGTTTTCGAGCTGCCTCTTCTTTTTTCTTCTTTGCCCTGAATTCTTCTTGTGCTTTCTCTTCCCTCAGTAACCATTCTTCATGTAATCTTTGCCTATTAGTATAACGGTGTAGTCAGTAAAAAACAAATGGGAATTAATGTAGAATGTAGGAAAGACAACAAAGCAAAATATGACATGAAAATCTTAAAATATTTTCTATAACGCAGTGAAGAGGTATGACTTTTGGGAAAGCACCTATCTTCCTGGACAGAAATAAGTTACAATTATTACTTCTACCTTTCATAAGCATTTATGACTGTGACAGCTTTTCTTTCTGTAAGAAAGTAGCAGTGATTTTCATCTCAGGAAAACATTCCAAAGCAACATCTATGTGAATTTTATTAGTCTTCCTGATCTATGCATTCCTTTTCCACTAAAATTACTATTTCCTCCTCCTCTTCTTTTGGTTCTTTGAGACAGGGTCTCCCTATGTAGCCCTGGCAGTCCTGGAACTCACTATGTATATCAGGCTGGCCTGGGACTCAACGATCTGCCTGCCTGTTTCTTCAGTGCTAAAATTAAGGTGTGTGCCAATCTGGCTAAATCTACATTTACTAATTTAGTTTTATAACTTTTCATCTTGTCTTAAAACTTTTATTTGTATGTATATGAACACTTTCTGGCATGTAAACATGGGTATCGCATGCATGGAATAGAAGTTACAGATGATTGGAAGCCAGCATGTAGACGCTGAGAATAAAACCTGAGTTGAAGTCAGTGCTCTGACTCAGGGAGCCTTCTCTCCAGCTCCCTTAAAACATTTATTTTAAAGACATGCTCACAACTCACAACGTTAACTTTTTTCCCAGAAGTTTAAATGTTTGAATGCAAATCACAGGAATCCCTTAACTCTATGGAATAGAAACTCAAAGGTTATAGAGAAAGATGGCAGGATTTTTGAAGCTGTAATCATGAAATGAACTTTTTAAATGCATACAACAGCCAGGTGGAACATGCTAATGATCCTAGCAATCGGAACGCTGAGACAGGATTACAAGTTCTAAGCTAATTTGGGCTTATACAGCAAGATCCTTCCCCCCAAAACAAAACCACCTCTCCTCCCTAAAAAAGGTAATGTTACCATAAATATATCCCAGACATCCAATAGCACAAGCTTCTCATTTAAAGTCTTCATTGAAAGAAAGAGAAAAAGGAAGGAAGGGAAAGAGAAAAGAAAGAAAGAAATGGAAAAAAATACATCTAATTTTAGCCTGTCAGCTACATTTAGTTTATAAGAGGTAGTTTTACAAGACTTTATACAAAAAGCCTTTACTAGTTGGTAAAGATAGAAAATACTAGAATAAACAGTTCACTTTAAGTGTTTCAATTAGTCCTGACCTCTCTTGCTCCATCAGCCTTTCTTCTTCTAATCGTTTTTCTTCAGCCAAAGGATCTTCTTCCTCCTCTTGCAGTGACAATTCTGTAGAAATTCAGATGTTTGATTAAATTGAGTCCTATTCATGGAAAATGCATAAATCATTAATCTTTACAATTATGCCAAAGTCTAAAATTAAGGCAGTGCTTCATGCCTTTTATCCCAGCACTCAGGAGGCAAAAGCAAATGGATGTCTGAATCTAAGGCCAGATTCATCTGCACAGTAAAGTCCAGGCCAGGGCTAGAGATCTTACTTCAAAAATTAAATAAAAAGGAATAGTAGCAGTAAGGAACTACATGGGTGCTGGGAATGGAACCTCACCAGCCAGTCTTGCTTTTTTTTTTTAACTTTTATTCTTCGCTCATACATTACTTCCCAAGGGCAGCTTCCCCTCCTCCACTCCTCCCAGCATACCCCCAGTACCTCCTCTCTTCCCCAGATCAACTCCTCCTGAGTGCCTTCAAAACACACACACACACACACACACACACACACACACACAAATAAGTAAAAAAGAGCAGGCCTCCCAGGGATATCCATCAAACAAGATATCCACCTGCCTCTCAAGTGCTGGGATTAAAGGCCTATGCCACCACTGCCACTAGCTGCAGCCAGTATTCTTAACCATCCCTCCAGCCCCACATTCTTTCTTTTTTTTTTTTGGTTTTTACGAGACAGGGTTTCTCTGTATTGTTTTGGAGGCTATCGGTCCAGCCCGGCCTCGAACTCACAGAGATCCGCCTGCCTCTACCTCCCGAGTGCTGGGATTAAAGGTGTGCACCACCACCGCCCCTTTAAATCAATGGTTCCACAATGATACTCATGATGTGGCTATGAAAAGGGTTCAGAAAAATAACAGGGAGGGAAGAATAGGGAGGGAGGGAGAACCTGCAAATATTTAACAATATGACAAATTTATATCAAGCATCAATATATTAAGTGCCCTATTTTATTCAACTTTGTGTGCACTGGAATATTTTCAAAACAAAAACATGGTAAAATAGTTCCAATAGAAGAAAACTTTATATCTTCTATTCAAAATTTAAATTTGAAGGGGGTGAAAATCAGTGACACTGGAGACACATGAAGTAAGCTTAAGAAATTGTTTACACAACTCGCCTTCAGGCTTAAAGGAAAAAGATTTTTGTCATCGATAACAAGAGTTTACTGTTCTTTCTTTTCATCCTTGATGTTACATCCTGTCTCTCCTAGACTAGTTCTCAAGTATTGCTAAGCACAGTCTCTGTGGTATGACTCCAAGCCATCATGTCTAGAGATGCTGTTGTGATTTTAACCCTCTTGCCTGCATTAATAAGGACTAATTTTATAAACCGACTAAATTTATAAATCTAAACCATAAATGTCAGGTTCTGTCATGTGACAGCCAAACAGCATGGTGGCTAGCTGCACGGATGGCTTTGCACCACGGGTTTGTGCAGGAACTAGTGGGAGCAATTGCACGGCCTGGGAATGCCAAGCTCAGTTGGTAGAGCTGCCTAGCACGAAGGAAACCAATCAGAAGCAACCTGGCACGATGGCCACATTCCTGTCACCCCAGAAGTGGGGAGATGGAGGCAGGAGAATCAGATGGTCAAAGTCATCCTCGGCTACACAGCAGTTTTGAAAGGCAGCCTGTTTGCGGCCAAATCTCAAGCAGCGGTGGGGGCGGGGCGGTAGAGGGAGGAATTTCATATCCAGAACAAAGAATGCCTCTACTACCTGCATCTCTCAGTCGGGCGAGCTCCTGCCTCCGTTTCCTCCGTCTCTCCTTGTTCAGTGCAGCCTTGTACTTCTTATGGCTGGAAGGTTGGAAAGCACACACACAAACACACACACGGTGTTGAGCCACCGCGCACAGGGCGCCGCAGCCTCAGTTCAAGGCCTACTAAGGACAACGCTCGGAGTCGGAGGCCTTGGGCGGGCTTCCCGCGCTTCAATCCCGACCCCAGCCATCCCCCCCCCATCCCCGACAGCAGAAGTCCTCCCGTCCTCCAGTTGCGACCCCTCCTCCTCTCCCCGAAACCACAGCTGTCCAGGACAGCCGGGGATTCTGGCTAGAACGCCTTAATATCCGTCCCCACGCGCGCGGCTTCGGGTCAGCATCTCCTGCTGCGCTATACCTCATTTTCCCTGGAAACGCAGTCGGCCCGGACGCCGCCATGCCGCCACCTCCTCCTCTCCCGCGGCAAGTTCTGAGCGGAAGCAGCCTCACAGATAACAAGCTGCACCGCCCACGCACAGCAGCCACGGGGTGGGCGGACCCAAGATGGAAGGAGGGAGGTTTCCTCCGGCAGCTCGTCAGTCAGGCGAGACCTGAGGAACTGTTTCCGCACCGAAGCCGCCTCCGGGGCTGTCCCTACACCCAGACTCGGGCCTTTGCTCCTCAGTGACCACTCGTCACTTTCGCGTCACCCCTTAGCCTCTGCGCCATCAGGCGGTGCCCGGAACTCAAGGAGTTAAAGCCTGGTTCCGCCCCGCCCCGCTCCGCCCCGCCCCTTTCACCTAGGAACTCTAAATTCCCGCTGCGTTCCTCGGGAAACGCTCTCAGGCCCGGTGGCTCTCCATGGTTCCACCAATCAGAGCCTCGGGCAGAGCTTAAGACTCCGCCTCCTCCTTGTCACTCAAGGTGGCTCCAACCGCAAATGTTTTGTCCGCTTTTTTTTTCTTTTTTCTTTTTCGAGACAGGGTTTCTCTGTGGCTTTGGAGGCTGTCCTGGAACTCGCTCGGTAGACCAGGCTGGTCTCAAACTCACAGAGATCCACCTGTCTCTGTCTCCCGAGTGCTGGGATTAAAGGCGTGCGCCACCAACGCCCGGCTTGTTTTGTCCGGGTTTTTTTGTTTTTTTGGGTTTTTTTTTTGTTTTTTTTTTCGAGACAGGGTTTCTCTGTAGCTTTGGAGGCTGTCCTGGAACTCACTTTGTAGACCAGGCTGGCCTACAAAGGCGGTGGTGGCGCATGCCTTTAATCCCAGCACTCGGGAGGCAGAGGCAGGCGGATCTCTGTGAGTTCGAGGCCAGGCTGGACCGATAGCCTCCAAAACAATACAGAGAAACCCTGTCTCGTAAAACCACACACACACAAAAGGAAACCCTTGCTAATAATAAAGTCAGTAACAAGGTCGAAAAAAAAAATCAAAACTGTAGGCAAACCTGTAGGGCATTTTCTTACTTAGTGATTGATGGGGAAGGGGCCAGCCCGTTGTGGGTGGTGCTGTGGCTGGGCTGGTGGTCCTAGCTTCTGTATGATAGCAGGCTGAGCAAGCCAGGGGGAAGCAAGCCTGTAAGCAGAATCCCTACAACCGGCAATTAGGGGTTATCTGGTTTTCTCTAGGACAAAGGAATGTTGACACAGGTGGTGGGGAGCTAACTCCCTTTCTCTGAGAGCTGAGCTCAGGATCCTAGTCACATACTCCTGGTTAGGGGGTCAATTTTTAGTTATTTTTATTAGAAATTCCCTTTCTTTCTGCATAGGTTCCGCAGCCCAAGTCTTTAAACTTTTATTAATTTTAATTTTTGGTCTCTCAGGTGACCGTTGTGTAGCTTGGTCTGTTTGTACGGCTGCTAGCAGTGAGATCAGGACCTGTCCCTTGTGCTTAGCTGGCTTTTGGGAACCTGTTCCCCAAGCAGGATTACCCGGCCCCACCTGGATGTAAGGGGAGGAGCTTGGTCCTTCCTTAACTTGAAGTGCTGTGCTTCCTACAAGCCAAAGGGAGGTCTGTCCTTTTCTGAATGGAGAGGGAGGAGTGAATGGGGAGGGGGCAAATGGGAAAGAGGAGAAGACAGGAGGAGAGGAGGGAGGGGAAACTGGTTGGTATGTAAAATAAATGGAAAAATGTTATTTAAATAAAAAAAAAGTAAAAAGACAGCCCGTGCTATACCGAAAGGAAAAGTATCAGCTCAGGACCCCCAAGACCAAGTTCTCAGCACAAGAGATTTATTTTCCCCAGAGGGACAGAGGGCAGGAATAGGAGATGGGGAATGAAGAGGAAGGGAGCAAGGGAAAGGGGGCAGGGGTATTTGTCCTGGAGGGACTAAGGACTGCCTCTGGATAGAGAGGAGACAGATGTGGTACATAGGCAAATGGTGGTTGACAACGGTACAAGAGGAAACCCCATGTTAAGATTGAAAAGTTCAGGCATCATACTGGCCTGCCCCTATTACCTGGCAGAATGCACTCAGGCAGCACTCTGGCCAGCCCAGGGTTCCATGCTTACAGCCTGCACGGAGGTGTAAAGGACCCCCTTAAAAGGCCAGATTCCCCGCCCACTTACTCTCTCACTCTTCTCCACTCTCGTGCTCCTTCACTCTTCCTCTTACCCCTCCCCCAGTCTGTCTCCCCTCCTTCTCGCTTTCCCGCCATTGGAATAAACTATGGCTTGTACACTCTGTGGCTCTGTGCTGTATTGCGCCGGTCCCAGTTCCCATCTCGTAACGCTTTTCCTTTTTCTAATTTTTAAACTTTTACAAAATAACAACAAAGGTGAGGTTTTTATTTTACTTTGCCATGCTAATTCAGTGAGTCAAGGGGACTTTTGATTGCTGGACAGCAATACTTTGGCAGCTGGAACTTGGTAGTCAGCCTCAGGAGGAGGGAGTGGCCAAAGAAGAGAATAGACCTTGGTGGCCAGCTTTAGGAATGTAATCTGCGGCTTTTTTTTTTTTTTTGGTTTTTTTTTAACAAGGAAGAGGGAATGGGGAAAAGGGCAAGGCCTGCCAGAGCTGTGTTTGCCATGCCTGGGTAGGCCAGAGTCCCTTCATAACCTGCACGCAATGCTTAGCAATTGTACCCCAAACATAAGCCGTGAATGCGTGATTATCATCATGCCAGTGTGAAAACTTCCCGACTCTCCTACCAAATATGGGTTCGCACTGGCAGTGCCACGTTCCGGTGCATTTCACATCCACCCCAGTATGCTGGCCTGGCTTTCTTCACTTGTATGCTTCTTTTATTTATTTTTGTTTCTTGCCAACAGGGTCTCATGTAGTCTCAAATCCCCTAGATAGCCGGGCATGATTTTGAACTCTTGATCCACCCGTTTCTTCATCCCAGGTGCTGGGATTATGAGTTCACGCTACATGCCTAGCCCTTGCATAAATCTTAACGTTTTGTGAGATTGGGCAAAAATAGCCCAAAACTACAAACAGCTCTGGATGGCACTGGTGATTGCAGCCACGTGATTCACCTAGTGCATACAGATCCCTGTGACTACAATTTGTACTTCAAATTGTTGCCGTTTGGAAAGCATCACAGCTTTAGTGGTTGCAACTTGCACTGCATGTGACTGCCACTTACAACAAAAAGCGTATCTTCCGGGAAGATGTTTCAACTTTTTTTTAAAAAGACACAGATGTAGATTTCATTTTATTATGATTGATAAATGAATGTAAATCTCCTTCAATTGGAGTAAGACATTTATTTTCAAGTTAATTACTGAATTCATTTTCAGGAAACAAGTTTGAATTGCTCGAGTTAATTTCTTTACAGAAGGAGCCCTGAAAGCCAATTCTGTTTCCAAACTAAGATTACTATCATTTGAATTCAATAAAGAAAAAAAATGTCTTCCTAAACTTTTGGGAAAGAAATGCCTAGCTTTAGAATAGTCAACTTTATCCTATCCCATGAGCAGAATATCTCTCTGGGTGACACTTAACCTATGCAGTTCTCCCTCCTGTATTACCTATACTTCTTTACAGTAATTGTAGAATCTGCTGGCAAAGCATGGCCTGCCCCAAATAGCCTGGATATTGCGCTGGCCCTTCCTTTGGAATGTCCCATTTCAATTAGGAAGGAACTATTCTGGACAGCCCAAACTTTATTCCACTCTGTTCATAGCAGGATGTCCTTTTCAATTTTGACTGGTGAGTCCTCCAGCCCTGGAGGTATACAACCTGGAGACAGAAGCCCTTGGAGGGGCGGGTTCAGCTTTGACAGTAGTGAAGAAGATGCTGTCCAGACCCCATCTACCCCAGGAAGCTTTGGGGGAGCAGCTCACAAATGGTCCTAGAACTAACTCACTTGTGCCTTGTAGCTACCTGTGAGAAATATGCCTGCTTTGTGACACCTCTGCATGACCTTGCTCTGCTTTTCCACTAGGTGAGCTTGGAATGTCTGTGCAATCCTACCCCACACCATGTAGTCCTGGGAAAGAAGAATGGGGCTGGCAGCCAGCTCTGTCTACTGACACCTGAAGATTGTGTGCTGGGAAACTGGCTGCTTCTCCCCATTTCTGCTTCTCTAGTAAATGCTTTCTGCGTTTGCCAGTTGCTATCTCATCTGATAAAAGGTGTCTCGTTGCTTTTTATAGATACCCTACATGTCCAAACAACTAATGAGAATGAAAACCCATTAACATTGTAAAGAGTAATAAAGGGGGAGGGGCTCAGCGATCTACTACTAAATGGAAATGAGCAATATTTTGCATACAAAACTTGTTTTGGCTAGGGAGGTAGCTCAGTTGGTATTGTGCTTGTCAACAATGTACAAGGCGCTGGGTTCAGTCCACGTGAAACTGGGCATGAGTGGAACTAGAAATGTCCCCCATCTTACCATGTATTTAAACAGCCAGTCACCAGTTGTTGGCACTATTTGGAAGGGCTATGGAATGAACCTTTAGGAAGTGGAGGCTGGCTGGAGGAAGTACATCACTGAGGGTGGACTTTGAGTATTTATACATCTGCTTTCTGTTCTCTATATGTTTCCTGTGTGAATGGAAACTGCTTCCTGGGTGAATGAAAATGCGATTAGCCAGCTTCCTACTCCTGCCACCATTCCTGTGTTCTACCACGCCCTCTGTTCCACTGTGGACTCTATCCCACGGGAACCATAAGCCAAAATTAACCCTTTCTTTTCTAAGTTGCTTTTGCTCCGGATATTTTATCACAACAACAGAAAAGTAATACACTTGTAACTCCAGGACATGGGAGGCAGAGGCAAGAATATGAGGAATTTGAGGTAATCTTCAATTACCCAGAGAGTAGGAGGCCAATCTGGGATACAAGAGAGATGAGACACACACACACACACACACACACACACACACACACACACACACACACACACATCAACCTTCAGACCAGACTTAGGCCAATTCATGTATAGGAAAGTACAAACAAAATGTATTTTAAAGTACAAGGTCTATGGTGGTTTGAATAAGAATGACTCCCCAAGGCTCATGTTTTTGAGTGCTTAGCCATCAGGGAGGGGCACTATTTAAAAGCGATGAGGAGGTGTGGCCTTGTTGGAAGAAGGATGTCATTGGAGGACTCTGAAGTTTCAAAAGCCTATGCTAGTCCCAGTGTCTTTCTCACTCTATGGATCAGGATGTAGCTCTCAACTACTTTTCAGCCCCGAGCCTGCCATGCTTGCTGCTAAGCTTCCCACCGTGATGATAATGGGCTAACCTTCTGAAACTGTAAGCACTCCCCCCAATTAAATGCTTTCTTTTATAAGAGTTGCCTTGGGCATGGTGTCTCTTCACAGCAATAGAACAGTGACCAAGGCAGGGTCTCACTATGTAGCCCTGGCTGTTTTGGAACTTGCTATGTAGACTAGACTTCAAGCTCAGTGATCCACCTGTCTCTACTTCCTTAGTGCTGAGATTAAAGGCACGCACACCATGCCCACCCAAATAAAACACTTTTAAGGCACAAGGGCCCAGAGGCTTGATGGCATGTTGGAACATGCTCCTACTGTGACACAGGGCTCTCTTCTGGCAACAAGACCCAAGGTAGCTGGTGGCCCAGCTTCTGGTGCTGGTCACCTTCCCTCAGAATCAGCACTCTATCTAGCCTGCCTGATTCCCCATTTTATGCTCAGTCTGTACAGTAGGTCTCGTTGGAGGAGTGGTTGTCCAGTGACAGACTACCAGAGCTGTGAATGGCAAATCATACTAGTCTCAAATTTAACATGGCTTTATTTGTAAGACAAGAAAAACAAAATACATTTGTGTGATCAAGATTCCTCAAGAAGCAGCCTGAGGTGACCTGTAAGGATGGTTCACTACTCTCTACACCCAGAAAGTCTATAAAATCATGTAAATCAAGAGGTTCACATCTGCCTGTTTAAGCATACCTGTGAAACTGCCCAGGCTGTCAAGGGTATGCATATGATGTCACTTTAAAGAAGTAATGTGTGTCATTCCTGCTGTATGATGATAGAGTGTAGGGGTGTGCCCTGAGCAAACAGTGGAGATGGACAGAGTGTCTATGCCCCCCCAAAGAGGGGTTGAAAGTAGATTCTCTAGTTACGGAACATACTCAAGTGAACAAAACACCCAAGATGTACCACTGAACTTACAGAGCTGACAGCAGGGTGAGCTCCCGTGGGTGAGCTCCCCTGCCACAATGAGATGAGCCTCACTTAGGAGGAACAAATTGTCCCAAAGCCAGAAGAGGAGACTGCACAGGAGAAAAAGCTAACCCAGAAGGTAAAAGCCATTGCAAAGAATAAATTCAGAGCAAAATAAATGTAAATTGATTTTAAATTTTTTGTGTGTGTATGGATATTTTGCCTGCATGTCTGTGTACCACTTTGTATACCTGGTACTGTCAGAGTTCAAAAGAAGACCTTTGATCCCCAGGAGTTACAGTTGTCAGCCACCACCTGGGTACCAGGATTCAAACTTCTGGAAGATCAGCCGGTGCTCTTAACTGGTGAACCGTATCTCTATCCAAAATTTTTGTTTGTTTGTTTTTGAGACAGAGTTTCTCTGTGTAACAGTTCTGGTTGTCTTGGAACTCACTCTGTAGATCAGGCTGGCCTTGAACTCAGAGATCCACCAGCCTCTGCCTCCTGAGTACTGGGGTTAAAGGCGTGTACCGCCACCACCAGCCAGCAACAAATAACATTTTAAAAATAAAGTTCCTCCAAAAGGAGGGTTGCCTGTGGGCGCTTAGCTGGTAATGTGCTTGCTTAGTATGTATGCAGCTCTGGGAGCAGTCCTCAGCATCACACGAAGTCGGCATGGTAGCACATGCCTGTAATCCCAGTGCTCAGGAGGTAGAGGCAGGAGGGTTAAGAATTCACGGCCATGTACCCTCAGAAGCTGAGGAACTTTAGCCAGGAGCACCTACCTGCCTGTGTTCCAGCTGTGCCCTCGACAGCCAGGGAGGACAGCAGCAGTGCCCATGCCATGAGGCCTAGCTAGGGCACCCCTGTGCTGCTGCAACACAAGCTGCCAGGCACCATTCACATCACCCAGTTCATAAAGTGTCGGTATGGATGGCAGGTTGGTGCTCAAGATCTGCATGGCTTCCAGGCAACACAGAGGAAGAGGAGGGGAACTATGATCATAGATGTGCTGGCTGTTGGGGCTGAGAAGGGCCTCACCTGTGTCCACATTTTGCAAATTACAGGTGTCATTTGAAAGACCCAAGGACTCTGGGAGAGGGCAATCCAGGTGGCAGAAAGAGAAGTACAGGCGCCCAGAGCTCAGGGCTAGAAGGGGGCACAGCCTGGGCAGCTGGGCCTCTTTTGACAGCAGGGTGGACTGATAGGAGTCGGGGGAGGGGAAACTTCAGTCAGGATGTATTGATAACAAAAAAAGAATAATAAGCCGGGCGGTGGTGGCGCACACCTTTAATCCCAGCACTCGGGAGGCAGAGGCAGGTGGATCTCTGTGAGTTCGAGGCCGGGCTGGTCCGACAAAACAATATAGAGAAACCCTGTCTTGTAAAAAAAAAAGAATAATAATAATAGTTTTAAAATTATGAGTGTGTCTCCACGCGCTTAGGTGGAGCACATGCGTGCAGAAAGCCTCTGGAAGCCAGAGCAGAGCAGCAGGTTCCCTGAAACTGGAATTACAGGTGGTTGTGTTAATGCTGGGAACTAAACTCAGGTCCTCTGCAAGAGCAATGAATGCTCTTAACCACGAAGCCATCTCAACTCCTGATTCAAACTCTTAAGATAGCTCCTCATCGTGTTTTAAAGTGAAGCCTCTTTGCTGGCTAGTTTTCTGTCAACTTGATACAATCTAGAGTCATCAGAGAGGAGGAAGCCTCAACTGAGAAGATGCCTCCATAAGGCAAGCCCGTAGGAATTTTCTTAATTAGTGATGAATGTGGTAGGGCCCAGGACATTGTGGGTGGCACCATCCCTGGGCTGGTGGTCCTGGGCTCTATAGGAAAGCAGCCTGAGTAAGCCAGGAACAGCAAGCCAGGGAGCAGCATCCCCCCTGACCTCTGCATCAGCTCCTGCCTCCAGGTTCCTGCCCTGTTTGAGTGTCTGCCCTCACTGCTTTTGATGATGAACTGTTATATGGAACTGTGAGTGAAATAAGCCACTACATTCCCAAGTTGCTTTTAATCGTGAGGTTTCATCACAGCAATAGTAACCCTAAGTAGGACACCTCTCCTTTCCTCTAAGGCCCTGATATGCTTAGATCTCCATATATTGCATTTTTTTCTACCAGACTTCTTCCTCTCACCTGAAGGCCCTTTCTCCCATAGGTTGTATCTTCTTAGGAGATTTGTGTCAGCTTCCTTTCTTCACTAACACCTAGTATTTTATTATTACCTAATTTATTGTTTAACAAAAAGAAGGACCAAGGAAGGGGGAGAGAATGAAGAGGGAAGGAGGATGGATTTGCATCTCTAAGATATAAAGGCAACTCACTTATTCTTTACATTGATTCTTGATCCAATCTGGAAGAGTTACTGTAATACAGTGTCTGTAAAATGTGTGTAAGAGGCTAGGAGGGGAGCTCATGCACCCTGAAAAGTAAATATTTTGTGTGTGCCCTTTGAAAAAACCAGAATTTGAAATACATGAATTTCATTAAGTTAACAGAATTATTTTTCAAGATGTTTATTTTGGTTTTGGTTTTTTCGAGACAGGGGTTCTGTGTATTGTTTTGGAGGCTGTCCTGGCACTTGCTCTGTAGACCAGGCTGGCCTTGAACTCACAGAGATCTGCCTGCCTCTGTCTCCCGAGTGCTGGGATTAAAGACGTACGTCACCAACGCCCGGCTTAAGATGTTTACTTTTTGTGGTGATGGGAATTGAACCCAAGGCCTTGTACATGCTAAGCAAAACATTGTACTACTGAACAACACCCCCATTTTCTTTTAAATCCCCTCTTTCTCTTTCTCTGGTGTGTATATATGTGTGTATGTGTGTGTGTGGCACAGCTTGCATGTAGAGGCTGGAGGACAACTTTTAGTAGTCAATTAGCTGGTCTGTTAGCTTGGGGAAATTCTCCTGTTTCTGCCTTCCATCTCCCAGTAAGAGTACTGAAATTACAGGTGCACACTATTGCATCTGGTGTGTGTGTGTGTGTGTGTGTGTGTGTGTGTGTGTGTGTGTGTTAACGTGAGTTCTTGGGATCAGAACTCATACGTTAGGCTTATACACTTTTACCAACTGAGCCATCTCCCTATACCTTATCTCATGTTTTTGTTTCATTTCTGTTGCTGTAATAAAATACCCTGACAGAAATAACTTAGAGGAGAAAGGGCTATTTTAGTTCACAATTCCAGGTTACAGTCCATCATTGTGGGGAAGTCAAGGTGACAGAAACTTGAAAGAGCTAGTCACATCACTACCAGAGTCAAGAGTAGAGATAATACATGCACATTTGTTAATGCTCAGCTTCCTCTCCACATTTATACAATCCAAGACCTCTTGCCTAGGGAATGGCGCCCCCCCATAATGGGCTAGGTTTCCCTACATTGTTGGGCCCTTCCCCCATAGGGATCTGCTGGCCAGCTTGTGACTAGGAGCTTATCTAGCAAATACTTCTTGTTTCCCTCCTTCTGACAAGGCCTTGTTTCAAAAAAATAAAAATGGTAGCCAAATGTGTCAAACATAATAGTATAGTGTGGTACCTTACACCTATAATCCTAGCACTTGAGAGATTGAGACAACAGGATTACTATGAGTTCCAGGTTAGCCTTGACTACAGAGTGAGAGCCTGCCTCAAGACAGAACACATACTCATACAATGTCAGATATGAGAATATATCATAACTTGCATGTCCTGCTTGTATTCCAATGACACATACTATTATCAGTCAAAGAGCAAATGCATTTGGTAAGACAAATGAAAGCTAGGCATGGTGGGACAAGTCTTTAATCCCAGCGCTTGGGAGGCAAAGGCAAACAGATCTCTATGAGTTCAAGGCTAGACTGGTCTACATACTGAGTTCTGGAACAGCCAGGGGTACTTAGAGAAGCCTTATCTTTAAAAAAAAGACAGATAAAATATTCTGAAAACTAATAAATGCACACATAACCTTTGAATGCCATTTTGAGATCAGCAGCTCCAAATTATAGTAACTAAGAGTGGAACCAATACTGTAAGATGAGACAATTTAACAATTTGAACAAAAAAGGTTATGTCATTAAATAAAATTCACAAGTACCTCTTGTTGTGGGTTAAGCTCCTATATCAGGCCCAAACAGAAACATCAAGATGAGTCACTTACATTATATTTCCATTTTATCAAGCAGAGACTAAACTTTCTCTGACTTTCTGAGAAACAGAGATCAGAGAAATTTAACAGTAAAATGCCAAATAGGCCATTTCAATTGGCATAATGAAGACTCCTCTGCCTTAATCCTGTCACAAGAAAAAGTAATCTAAGGTATCCTGATGTTGTATGGTTATGGGTTTTTTGTTTTTATTGTTTTGTCTCCAAGTCTTTGCTTTATAAGGATAGGAATTTTGAAATATTACAAAAATGAAAGAAAAAAACATAAATGTATACATATAAGTATTATTAAATGTAGCATTTTCAAATAAACTAGATAAGATTTTAATCAAATACGCATTAAAGCAATGTGCTGCCTAAATATGAACATCTTAGGGGGTGACCTGGCTGGCTGCTGGCTTGGGCTTCACTTGTATATTGAGCACATAATCATGGCGGAAGGATGAGCGGACAGTACGGTTCATCAGTGGCTGAAGTGGGCGGAAGTTGTCCACCATTCTTTTCTCTTTCTCCCCTTCACAAGTGACAAGCAGGGTCCGAAACTGCTCAAGCTAGAACCAAAAAACATTAAGAATATCAATCAAAAACCATCTCTAGTACATGGACAAATTACTTTCATTGTGTTTTGAGACAGGATCTCACTGCGTAACCCTTAGAACTCATTAGTAGACCAGGTTGGCTTTGAACTCCCAGAGGCCCACCTGCTTCTGTCTCCTACATTCTGTCATTCTGTGATTACAGACATGCACCACCACACCTGGCTTGCTTTCACTTACAGAATTCTATAACACTTTGTCTCTAATTGTATTCAGAAAGAGAACTTGTTCCTGGGTGAGATGTCTTCACCCCTTGGCAAATGTTTAAATGCCATGTTGTTGGTTGGCATGGTTGTGTGACAGCAGCAGGAATAGGTGAAATCAGTCAAGCCTTTGGGATCTGAAGATGAGGGTCAAAGGTCCTGGTCCCCACATATTAGCTGTTTGCCAAAGGTGAGTTACATCATCTCTTTGATTCCGAGGAATATCAATGGAGAGAAAAGACTAGAAAAAAGGTATGTACAAAATGATTCCATTTTGTTAAAAAATTATGCATTTATAAAGATCATAATGATTTACCCAGGTAATTAATAATACTGAGTGCTAAAATAACCAGTGATTAAGATTATAAATGACACAGCATTATTAATTGTAAATGCATATATTAATTATACCTAATAATGGGTTTCATTATGACATTTTCTTACATGTATATAATAAAGTTTGATCCTATTTACTGCTACTCCCCAGTACTTCCCACTTCCACTCCTACTGATTCTTTTTAAAATAAACCATCAGCCCACCCCTATCCAAACCAAAAGGGATGACATTGTTAGTAACTGTGGCAAGGGCTATGAGCCTGAGATCAATGGCCTTTGAACTCCAACAAGTCCAACATAATCAACTCACTCAACAGATCAAGGCTGATCTGACACAGGTACAAGACAGCATAAAAAACTCTAGAGTTGGGTTGAAGATATGGCTTGGTGGTTAAAAGCACTGACTGCTCTTCTGGAGGTCCTGAGTTAAATTCCCAGCACTCACATGGCAGCTCCCAACTGTTTATAACCATAGTCCCATGGGGTCTGTTGCCCTCTTGTGGTGTGCAGATGAAACACATGATTATATACATGTTTTCTCTGTGTAGCCCTGGCTGTCCTGGAACTCTCTCTGTAGGCCAGGCTGGTCTTGAACTCACAGAGATATGCCTCTCTCTGACTCCCAAGGCATGTTCCACCACTTCCCAGCACATTTAAAAAAAGAAAGGAATGAAGGAAGGAAGAAAGGAAGGAAAGGAGGGGGGGGCAGACACAAAAATTCCAGACTCAAACTCTCTAGTAGCCATGGTATTACAAACTAGATGGGGATTAGATCTCATTATAGTAGAAGGGAGAGACCTATGCTATGTTACTGGAGGAATACTGTTTCTATATGAATTTATCAGATGTCATAAAGCAAAATTCCTGACAGCAAAAAAAAAAGAAATGAATCACAAGCTAGATAGCCCCCATTGGGATGGACAGGTTTTGGGAGCACATGGAATACATGGATAACCCCTTTATTATGATAGTTCTAGCTCAAATTTTCAGTCTTTGTGGGGTTTTTTTGGTTTGGTTTTTGGTTTTGCAAAACAGGGTTTCTCTGTATTGCTTTGGAGCCTGTTCTAGAACTTGCTCTGTAGACCATTGGCCTCGAACACACAGAGATCCACCTGCCGCCACCTCCTGTGTGCTGGGATTAAAGCATGCAGCACTAATGCCTGGCTAGTCTTTCTGTTTTAAATTTCCTCTCTAATCTATTGCAGCAATGAGTTCAAGCCCTTACCTCCTCAACTATCACTCAACTCCTCCTGACTGAGGACTACCAACTTCTCAGAGTCTTCAAATCAGATGATCCCCCCCCCCAAAAAAACCAGATAGTCTTGAGGAATCAAGATACCTCTAAAGTCAAAAGACCCTGTAAGAAACAAGAAAAATCCGAGAAAACATTTTTGTTTGTTTGTTTTTTGAAACAGGGTTTCTCTGTATTGTTTTGGAGGCTGTCCTGGAGCTCGCTCTGTAGACCAGGCTGGCCTCGAACTCACAGAGATCCGCCTGCCTCTGTCTCCTGAGTGCTGGGATCAAAGGCATGCACCAGAAAACCTTTTCTCTCTCTCCCTTACAATGATTCTTCCACCAGCACAAAACAGTTAAGAAAGAATTAATGCCCCTGTCCCTTACTTATTCTATGTTTCAGAGTCTGAGACAACAGAGGGCCTGGACATAAAAACAGGATTTCCATGAAATTACAAATGACCCTGCTCATCCTTATCAGTCAGCCATGACCCATAGAAGAATGTTTGCTGGACAGCCATCTCCCAATATAATATGTCTGATTTGGACAAACAAATTCAGAAAAGAGAGTCTGCATAGCTGCAATAGCTCCCTGAAGCCACATCAACTTTCTCATTCCCAAGTCCACCCCCCATCTTTATAAAGGATCCTAGCTAACTTTTCCCCTACATAGAACCTCTATCCCATGGAAGAGTGCCTGTCTTTTGTTGTTCGAAATAAGCAGTCTCATCCATTGAGGTCAAACTCTGGTCTCTTTTCCTGCCTTCTGTCTCTTTACTGTGTGCTCCAAAATCTAACACTTTCCCTCTTCCCAATTACTTCCTTGCCTTTAAAAAACATATGAGCCAGTGAGTTTTATTAGGGTCACTTACAGGAGTATAGGGACCTTACCAGTAGTTACACTGCTGAGGAAAGTATCTCTCCCTCCCCCATTAACCATTCACTGTGTAGAAACTCTCAGGTAACATTTGCTTAATTACTGCCGGGCGTTGGTGGTGCACGCCTTTAATCCCAGCACTTGGGAGGCAGAGGCAGGTGGATCTCTGTGAGTTTGAGGCCAGCCTGGTCTACAAGAGCTAGTTCCAGGACAGCCTCCAAAGCCACAGAGAAACCCTGTCTCAAAAAACCAAAAAAAAAATGCTTAATTTCTGAATTATCCACGTGTACTGATTGTTTTTTTGTCATCTTCACAAAAGCTAGAGTCAGATGAACACATCAGCAAGTTTGTGGGGGTATTTTCTTGATGAATAATTGACCTGGGAGAGCCCAGATCACTGTCAGCAATGCCACCCCTGGGCTGATGATCCTGGGCACAATAAGAATGCAGGTTGACCAAGCCATGGAAAGCGTGCCAGTGAGCAGCTCTCCTTCATGGCCTCTGTTTCAATATGTCTGGCACCTGCCCTGGCTTCTCTTAGTGAGGGGCTGTAAGCTGTAAAATGAAACAAATCCTCCCCTTCCCAAGTTGTTTTCCGTCATGGTGCTTATCACAAAAAATAGAAAGCAAACTAGTATACTATGTTAAATTTTTATTGAAAATTCCTCACTTAGGCCACTGGCCCTCTGGTTTTCTTTTCAGAGCTATATGAAATTTTAAACATGAAGAATAGGAGTATAGCAGACTAAATGTGTTGGTCACAAAGGCCAGACTTATGGACTTTGTCTTATGTTTGTAAGTTTCATCACAAGGAAATGTTTAAATGGAGTCCAACATAAGTTGAACGACGTGTGTTCCTTCAGACCTCTGGTTTTCTTTTGTATTTAAAAGAGCTCCATTCATTTTGCACTCTGAAAGGATTTCTCTATGATGAACTTTTATGATGCTTTCCTGTTTTGTAGTACCAAGGGTTAAATGTGTGGCCTCAAGTATGCTAGGCAAGCAGTTTACCACTGAGCTGTATCCCCAGCTCCAATTATGCTACTTTTTACATTTAATATATTAAGAATATGTTCCTGTATAAAGTTTGAATGCTAAATCCAATTCCCATTTGGTTGTGATATTTTGTTTGTGCTCTGTGTTCTGACAAAGTGTGCCTGAAAATCAGCGGGCAGAGCTAGCCACTAGTTAACCATAGAGTTCTGGAGGCCTGTACAGAGAGGATCAAGGAAGTGATAACATGGGGTAGAGACAGGGAGTGAGAACATGGGGCATAGACAGGATCTTGTCCTTTTTGGTCTGAGGATTTGGAAAGGTAAGAAGTGACTGTGGCTGCTGCTTTACTTCTCTAATCTTTCATCATTTACCTCAATATCTGATACGTGCCTTTATTGATAAGACCTATTAGGATCATGCTTACCACCAAGCATTGCCTTTACCAAATATTTTATAGAATGTCCACTCCTTTTTCCTCACTTAAATGAGAAGCTGTGAGAGCCAAAGTTACATTGTAAGTTTTAATTACTATGACTTAGAAATCCACGAAGCAAAACTATCTCTGATCTGCAAGCCCCTTGGCCAAGGACAGATAGTTCCTGAAGTATTTATATTTATGCTGTTGTTTATGGAGATAACAAACCACATGCTTTCACTCCCCTAAACAAGTTTGTTTGACCCATCTGCACTGGAAATGCTTGATCACATGTGGGCGGGAGGAACATAGGCAGGAAATATGTCAGAATATACACTTGGCTCTAATTGGACCTGATGGGAAATGCAATGAATTATGGGTTTTCTGTCTTAAGCCCTTGCCATACTTGATTCTGAACCATTTCCCAGGGAACCTGGGTATGTACCTGGCCAGAGCCCATCCCACTTGCACATAGTTAGTTAAAGCTTGCTTCAAATTTGGCTTTAAATGTGTTAGTGGCCTTATTCTCAATTAGGGGATTAATAATGCTACCTTTATCATAAAGTAAATTCTCATATGTAGTTTGACACATTTTTAAACTTACAACTTTCTCCCTCTTCTTCTTTTTTTTTTTTTTTGGTTTTTAGAGACAGGGTTTCTCTGTATTGTTTTGGAGGCTTATCCTGGAACTCGCTCTGTAGACCAGGTTGGCCTCAAATTCACAGAGATCCACCTGCCTCTGCCTGCCAAGTGCTGGTATTAAAGGCGTGCACCACCAATGCCTGGACAACTTTCTTCTTATAAAGGCTAATTTTCTCTATCAATCAGACTAAGGGTATGGGGTAGCTGGTTAACTTATTTCTAAGTCTGTCTGTTTCCCAGAAGAGGTTAGGATTTGAACTGGGGTCCAGAGCAAAGCAGATGGTTTTCTTTTATGAGAGTATCAGCCACTGTGGAGAACGTAAATAGAACAAAAGAGTAAAAGGTTAACTGCTAACTGTCTTTTTGTTTTGTTTTGAGAAAAGATCTTAAATAGCCTAGGCTGATCTTGAAATGCTATATAATTGAGGGTGGCCTTGAACTCCTGATCTTTCAGTGGCCACTTCCCAAGTACTCAACCACTAGTTTATGTGGAATTAGAGAACATACTGTTTTGGACTAGGTTCCTGCATTGGGTCCCACTAGAGCAACATAAAATCAAGATGGAGAAGCTGGTGTGGTGGTTCCTTAATCCCAGCACTTGGGAGACAAAGGCAGATAGAGATCTGTGAATTGAGACCAGGCTGGTCTGTACTGTGTACAGTAAGTTCCAGGTCAGCAAGGGATGCATAGTAAGGCCCTGTCTCAGAAAAAGAAAATCAAGATGGAGTCACACTGGACTTCCAATTTTACCAAGGGGAAACTAAACTTTTTTCTGACTTCCTGAGAAGCAAAGATTAGAGAAATTCAACAGCAAAATCCCAAATACGCATTTCAATTGGCTTTGAAACGAGATTCCTCTGCCTTAATCCAGTCATAAGATAGGGTAACCTAAGATAATCTGATGTTTTTTGGTTGTGGATTATAGTGTGATTGTTTCGTGGTAGAATCCCACTCCTCACTCAGCAATTTACTTGTAGATCATAATGAAGATGATTTTCATAATAACAATGCACTTCCTTGGATCAGTGATTTAAACATCAGGTGGTTAAGACAGTACAGATGATTAGGGAAACGGGTTAGGTTATTCTGCCAATTGCTGTAATAAGACATGAAAAAAAGGCAAAAATGGACTAGAAGTCACCTTCCCCTTTGTTACATGTGAGATTTGCCAAGGATGGAAAATAACAACAAGGAAGTTTCATGCATTGTAGACCCATGAATTCTGCCTGTGGAAAAGCAGGCTGATGATCAAAGAGGGCAATTATGTCCCTACACCAGAGGTCAGGCCTGAGTTCCTTGGTCTGTAGCTTACAGAATTAATCACAGGTTTTGATATGCAACTTGAAAAAAAAAAACCAAAGTTGTGAAAGGAAATTAAATGACCCTGTTGTGTGTAAAGAAAAGTAGATGGTTAGCTGACCACTTGTTTAAAGTTTTGTAGGAATTTGCTACACTGAAACCACAAACAGCTGACTGCCAGTACAAACTCGCCAGTACAAAGAACTGGCTGGCTTAGAACTATGTTAATAATGAAGGAGTCATTGCTTTGGGATGAAGACGTTATGGTGGGAAAATTAACACAAAGAAAAATGTTTAACCACTTGTGTGCTTCTAAGTGACTTGTGATCATAATGTGATTTCTTCCTGTGTAAAGATTTTAATTTGTTTTGGAAAATATATAATTGTGGTTGTGAGGTAATCTTTTCTTGCATAGAAGTTTTTAGCTTAGGTGGTATAAAAGGAATATGAAAAAATAAAGAGGCAGAAGAAGGAAGAGAAAAATAAGATGGACAATTAAGTTTTGCCTCCTCAGATAAGCCTCCTGTGTATATGTTTAGTAGTGGCCAACTCCACATCTCCTCTCCAGTTTCTCTGACCTGCTGAAACTGGTTCTTCAAGAGTAGACAAAAACCCAGACGACTTCTCAGCCTCCATAATCACATGAGCATAAGAGGCCCTGCTCAAGTGAACCCAGTCTAATTCATTTCCACAAGGACTGTAGGCATGCGCAGCACATAGATAATTCTAGAATAGAATTTAATATAACATTTACTATGGTAGCAGTTATTTCCAGTAGGCATGGTAGAGTGTACCTGTAATACCAGCATTTGAGAGGTAGAGGAAGGAAGATAAAAAGTCCAAAGTCATCTTTAACTGCATAGTGATTTGGAGACCAAAGTAGGCTACATGAGACAAAAAATTACTTCCATATAAAACACAATTATTGGTATTCTGTGTCCATGGGTTCCACATAAATATTAGAAAAATATTGTTGGTATTCAGGAGGCAGAAGCAGGAGGATCATTGCAATTTCAAGGCCAGCTTGATCCACACAGTGAATTCTAGGCCAGCCGGGAAACTGCTTCTAATGAACATTGTACAGATATTTTTCTTGTCATTTTGTACTAATCAATATAGTAGAAAAATTATTTACATAGTATTTACATTGCTTGAGAATATAATCGTAAAAAGTACTATGCAGGTGATTTAAAGCATAGTAGAAGAAGTGTATAGGACATATGCAAATGTTAAAATCTTATGCAATTCCATATAAGGGGCTTGAGCATCTGTATGTTTTGTAAATGTGGGTTTCTGGAACCAGTCTTCCTTAACCAGTGGACCAGTGGATGACTGTATTTACTTTTTAAATTTATTTTATTTTTTATTTATTTTTATTTATGAGAGAGAGAGAGAGAGAGAGAGAGAGAGAGAGAGAGAGAGAGAGAGAGAGAGAGAGAGAGAATGTCACTCATGTGTGGTATCTATGAGGGCCAGAAAAGGCTTTTCTATCCCCTGGAACAGAAGTTACAGTGACTGTCAACTGTCTGACATGAGAATCTGTCCTCTGGAAGAGCAGCAAGTGCTCTTAACTGCTGAGCCATCTCTCCAGCTCCTGAATTTATTTTTGAACTAAGATGAATTTGCCATGGTAAGGAAGTCTCTATTCATCTATATTTCATTATGGGCAGAATAGAGCTCAGCATGAAGGCACATGCCTTTTATCCCAGAACTCAGGAAGCAGAGGCAGGAGGATTTCTGGGAGTTTAAGGCCAGCCTGGTCCACATAGTGAGTTCTAGAACAGACAGGGCTACATAGAGAGACCGTGTCTCATAAAACAAAAGCCAAAACAAAACTAAAACAAAAGAGGCTTTAGGGGCTTATCCTTTAATTCACTAGCTCACTCCTATTTGAGGGAATAGTACTTTCTCTTTCTTAATAAACTGTCTCTATTTCTATTCCTTTAATAAAAAAATTAAGACTTTTAAAAATGTCTTTTAAGAATCTATGGAAATGAGGGCTGGGGATGTGGCTCAGCAGTCGACTATTTGCCTAGCATGTACCAGGCCTTAGGTTCAATTTCCAGTACCATTTAAAACAATAGAATCTCAATGGGCAGTGGTGGCACACATCTTTAATCCCAGCACTCAGGAGGCAGAGGGAGGCGGATCTCTGTGAGTTCAAGGCCAGCCTGATCTACAAGATATCAAGACAGCCAGGGCTACACAGAGAAACTCTGACTCAGAAAACCAAAAGAAAAGAAGAAGAAAATTCTGGAAATGTTACTATTTTTTTGGTAGGGTCACTGATGGCATGAATTGTGTTATTATAAACAACCACCTCGGGCTGGAGCAATAGCTCAGCAGTTAAGAGTGTTTAGCACTTGTCCTCTGGACCTACCTTGGTTGCCTCATAACAAACTGACTATAGCTCCAGAGGATCAGACACTCCTTGCAAGTACCCACACCCAAGTGGCATACACTCAACAGACACACATGTATATAAAAACAAAATTAAAAGTAAAAGTAACAACCATCCCGTTGCTTCTGATACACTGCTAGATTCTGTTTCTAATATTTTATTTTACCTCTTTTCCTTTTCTATCTGTCCAAAGTTCACTTTGGAGGTCATCATTGGTGGTGTCAGTTATATTGGCTTCATAAAAAGTTTGGAAGGTTTTGTTTGTTTCTTGTGAAAATGCTTTGTAATCAATATGTATCCCACACAGCAAGTATGAAAAAATATTGGAAATTATCTGTTTGGTATGCACATTTGTGGTTTGATCTCTCTCTCTCTCTCTCTCTCTCTCTCTCTCTGTGTGTGTGTGTGTGTGTGTGTGTGTGTGTGTGTGTGTCTGTCTGTCTGTCTGTCTGTCTGTCTGTGTGCAGGGAGAGGTGGGGATTGAACCTGGGACTAAGCTAGATCCCAAGCTCTTGAGCAAATACTAGTGTATTTTAGTTGTAAACTAAACAAGAATTTGTGATATGGATCATGGGTTTAAATAATATCCAGTTTTCTTCACAGTCATTGTTAGTCTTCTGGACTTCTATTGCAGAATTTCCATAAGTATTATACAGGCTCTGGACATTTCTAGTTTTCACTCTTCCCTTCACCTGGGTCTTCATTTTAAATAGAGACTCACAGTTACAGAGGAAGCACACAATTCATAAGCAAATATAGAAGCAGATAGCTATGTCCTCTTATGCTTTAAGTCTTTTTCCCAGCAAAGGCTAGGAATATAGCACCAAATGCTTGCCTAGTGTGTGCAAGGCCCTGAGTTCAATTCCCCACCACCACAAAAATGAAACAAGCACAAAAATAGTTCACTTAATGTTCCAGGCCAGCCTTGGTTACACGATACCCTACTCCTCCCCTCAAAAAACAAGTAAGCAAACAAGTAAAAATGATGTCAAGATCTGAGCCCAGCTTGAACAGGAAGACTAGCATTTCCTTGAATGGAAAATGTGCAAGGAGTACCTGATCATGATCAACCTCTACTGGCTGCTTCTTGATGATCCAGATAACAGACTCTGAGAGGGGCGGTGTAGTGAGAGACCCAGAGTAGGTCCAGTAATCTGGGCAAGTAGGCATCAGACAGGAAGGGTCAAATGATCCAAATTCCACCAGGGTGTCCTGTCCAAGAGAAGGAATTACTGAGTTGTTATTCACTGGTTAAAATCACTCAGGTATCAAAGGGTGAGGCAGTGATTCTAATGGAATGTCCAGGGACCAACAGTGGTCCAGGGGAGGTCCAGGGACTCTGAGTAGCTTCTAAAACAGTCATCACTACTTAATACAAAGTCACACTGTGTATTTCTGATAGTTCTCCCTGGGAAAACAGCAATAATGTTTTCTCTTTCAATTCTGTTGGGAGGTATTAGGTAGTGGCTGCTCATAAACAGAACAGCTTCTCTTCAAGAGAAACTAACAAAGATTTGTCCTTTAAAACTAGCACAGAGCTGAGGGTGTAGCTCAGGATGTAGCTCAGTGGCAGACAGCTTGCCTGGCATGCTCAAGGCACTGAGTTCCATCCTGATACTGCAATGAAAAAGAAAGGGAAGGAGGAAGTGGGGAAGGAAGGAAAGAAGGAAGGGGATGCCAGAATCCTAGACTAAGGAGAAAGAGATTAACAAGGAGACAGGAAGTGATGGAGGGAGGGGAATAAGAAGACAGAACAGAGGAATGGTGTGCTGGTTTCCCGGAAGCAGCCCCTATGGGATTCTGATACTGAGGAACTCATCTTGGCAGTTGGACAGAGAACATAGAGTTCTTCATTTCTAGACAAGTTACATTTCTGTAAAACTTCTCCCTGCCTACTCATAAGAGGTAGCTGGAGAAAAGACATCTCTACAAAGATGGAGAAGGAGCAGTCAGGAACAGAATAGATTCCTGGTCAACGAGTACTGAGCAGAACCAGAAAGTTTCACCAGGGTAATTTGGCTTGTGTCCTGCGGTGTTTAACCGAAGGCTGAACAGGATCAATACAGCCTCATCCATGCCAGGTCTCTTCCTGCAGCAGTGCCGAAAGAGATCTGAATGCAGTTCATTTATTTGTCTTCCTGCTTCAAAGTGCTTTATCTACTCTGAGATTCAAATATAAAATATACTTCAAGTGATGTAAAGGAGAAAATTACCTTGTGCTTAATTGATGGCAAATTGTCCACCAATTTCTGTAGTTCTTTATGATGTTTACCTAGCTAAAAAAATGAAGAAATGTTACATACAATGGCCATCTCACTGTAGAAACTCAAATAGAATGTGAATCAAAATTAACCACCTGGTGGTTACATATAAACAAACCGCAGGGCTGAAACTAGATTTCAGCTGGCACTTACAAATATTATAAACATCACTAAATTAAATTAGACTTAGAACAAAATGAACAGACTGTTTGCTGGCAAGAATAGCGTGTCTATAGAAAAAGGTGCCTCCTGCTCCCATTAAGTATCATTTTTATACTGAATTTTAAATTGATGAAATTATAAGTTACCCTGCATTTTCACTAACCCCTCCCCCAAGACAGGGTCTTACCATGTACCCTGGGCTTGTCTCAAACTTTTGATCCTCTTGCTTCAACGTCCCAAACTAAGCATATTTCAAGTACTCACTTGCCCCAGATGGTTTGTGTCTACTTTATTTGGCTGTGGGCTTTTGAAGACTTACTTTATTTTTTGTATGTATGTGTGTCTGAGTAGGGATATGTGCATGTGTGAGCAGATGTGCATGGAGTACAGAAGAGGGTGTTGCATCCAATGAAGCTGGAGATAAAGGCAGTTGTAAACAGCCTGATATACATGCTGAGAACTGAGTATCAGTCTTCTACAAGATCAGCAAGCAATCTAGACCACCAAGCCATTGCTCTAGCCCCTGGACCACATTTTTTTTTTGTTTTTTTGTTTTTTGTTTTTTGGTTTTTACGAGACAGGGTTTCTCTGTATTGTTTTGGAGGCTGTCGGTCCAGCCCAGCCTCGAACTCACAGAGATCCGCCTGCCTCTGCCTCCTGAGTGCTGGGATTAAAGGCGTGCACCACCACCGCCCGGCTCCTGGACCACATTTTTATACCGTTTGAAATACATTCATAATAGCTATTGATGGTAACTACTTTATTTTTTGCCATCTATATGTTAGACAGAGTCTCACTATCTAGTCCTACCTGGCCTCAAACACATAGATCCATTGGCCTATACCTCCTGAGTACTAGAAATTAAGGGTGTGTGCAACCACATTTCGTCTGGTATTAATATTCTTTTCAAAATATTAATTATACAGAATGATGAATTTCCTTGTGATAATCCCATATACATCTATCATATACTTTAATTATATTTGCTTTCCCTCTTTCCCCTTCTTTCTCCTCCCATCTCCCATTGATCCCGATATTCTTTTCTCTTTGTTTTTTTTTTTTTTTCTTGGATTTTCTCCGTGTAGCCCTGGCTGACCTGGAATTCATTCTGTCCGACCAGGCTAGCCTCAATCTCAAGAGATCCGCCTGCCTCTGCCTCCTGAGTGCTGGGATTAAAGGCGTGCACCACCATGTGTGTGAGACAGCATGCATGAGCATAGGGAGGGTTAATGTATATTTGAGTGAAGGCATCCAATAACCCTGGAGCTGGCTTTATAGGCAGGCGTTAAGTTGGTGGATGTGGGTATTGGGAATTGAACTTGGATCCTCTATATGAGTAGTCCATGTTCTTAACCATTAAGCACTCTCTACAGATCATTCTTTCCTTTTAATTCTAAATCTCCTTCACATAAGTATCTTATATTGTAATGTTCTATCTTTTCAGTGTAAGATACAATACATCACTTGAACTTGGTGAGATGGTTTGTCGGCTTTTGCTTGCTTGAGACAGGGTGTCTCTCTATCGGCCTGTCTGGCCTGGAACTCATGATGGCCTGGAAGGCACAGTTCTGCCTGCCCCTGCCTCTGCCACCTGAGAGCTGAGAGTAAATGTTGCCACCACGCCCAGCCCGATTTTTTGTTTTTACCTTTAAAAATACACCTATCACAGCCAACCCATTTTCTTCCAGTGCTGCATCCTCGAAGCTTTCAAATTTGACTGCATTCCAATGCACCAAGTGCAGCTGAAACAACAGTTACAAGTGAGGTTTATTCGTGCCCATGTAGAATTGCACGGAAATAAACTGACAGCCCCATCCAACATGTAACATTTAATCTTGTTTCATCACCCCAAACAGAGCCACCGAGAAAACTATGTGGCAGTGTGGTACAAAAGGAGGTGGACATAAAGAAAGGGACGGCGCTGCGGCAAGAACAGCAATATTACTTTGGAAGAGAGGAATTTGTGAGGGGAGGAAAAAATAAAATGCACATAGCAAAGGAACTTCACAATGACCGCTCAACATTTTCTTCATTCCCATCCTGCTTTGCATAAAATACTAATATCCCAAATCCATTTGCATCTAAAGGAGAGAAGATGTTTATATTAAGAGAAATGCATTCTCCCTGTGAAAATGAGATGGGAGCCAGAGACGAATTTCTTCTTGGAGGGATGATCACTTAAAATGTTTTCAGTTTAGCATCACATTTAAAACTAAATTAAGGGAAAAGTTGCAAGAAGAAATTCTATTTGCAAAGAGAAATTCTATTTCCTTGTGCTCTGCTTGCATTTCCATACCAACCATTCTTCATGCGTCATTCTCAAACCACTGCCTTACCGTCACCTGACCTCCCAAGTGAGCCACGGCACGGTCCTAGTTAGCTTTCTCCTCCTGAAATGGAGCCCAGCTGCAAGTTCTGGTGCTTTGGCACTTTGATTTCAGAACCCTTTGATCATCTCCGTGTTTCTTTCTCTCTCTCCTTCTCCACGGCCTTTTTAGGCTCCCACTATTTTCCACTTGGATTAATTCAGCCTCACAGCTCTATAATAGCTTGGGACTTTAGGGATAACTGCACCTATTCAGAACTCAGACACAATTCCGTTCTAATTTTCAATATTTATTTTATGTTTCTGAGTGTTTTGTCTGCATTTATGTCTGTGTATCATGTATGTGCCCGGTGCACGTTGAGGCCACAAAAGGGCATCTGATCCCCTGGAACTGGAGTTATAAATGGTTGTGGCACCATATGGGTATGGGGATCTGAACCTAGGTCCTCTTGCAATAACTGTTCTTACCTGCTGACATCTCTCCAGGCCCAGAATTCAGTTTTATCGTCTCAAGGTTTATTTCATGTATACTATTTAGAGTGTATATAATTTTCGCATGTATAAGATGGGAAGACTCAAGTATGACTCATGTAAACTAAATAGGCTTTAAAGCACCACCTGGGACTTCTTGGTAATTTCTTTGATTGAGAAACCTCAGAACTCTCCCCACTTTCCCAACCTATTGCTCTTTTTCATTTATATTCAACATAATTCTACTGTTAAAGCTAGGTGGGAACACCTTTAATTCCAGCATTCAGGAGGCAGAGGCAGGAGAATTTCTGTGTGCTCAAAGTCAGCATGGCCTACATAGTGAGCTCCAGGACAGCCAAGACTACAGGAAGACCTTGTCTTCAGGAAAATAAAAGAACAAAAGGAAAAGAAACATACCTCTGCTGGGTAGCATTTGTTGTCCACAGTGTGCTCAGAGCCCCAAGCATCAATGGCCCCCCAGTGAAAATGAAACTGCTTCAGTCGGTAGTTGTGTTCTAGGGGTCCTCCCTCAATCACTGAAATGACACATCCAGCAATTCAGGGAGCATGCGGAAATGATGGACCCTGTCCTTGAATCATTTGGGGTATACGAAATCACATACAAGTATTTATAAAACTGATTTCCACAAAGTAAACACATGTATAAAGATTTGGTCAAATAATATCAAGACTGAATCATGTACCAAACAATACGCAAATGTTAAAGGCTAGATTTCAGCTTATTTCTATTAATTAATTCATTAGACATAAGTTTTCATGTATCCCAGGCTGGCCTCAAACTAACTGTATAGCCAAGGATGACCTTGAACCTGATTTTACATTCACCTTCTGAGTGCTGGGATTACAGCTTGACTTATTTTTGCATCTGTAGTTATTGGGCCTAGTTTCCATTGTATGAAATAAAATGCAATTTTTCTTGGTGTATTTATCCAATTCAATCAGATAAAACTAAGCTATGCAAACAAAAGAAATTGTAAAACTTTTTAAAATTCATTCAGGCTAGCCTTCCCTCAAACTAGGAATTACCCTGTCTCCCAAGAGCTGGTTAATATATATGTGTGTGTGTGTGTGAGAGAGAGAGAGAGAGAGAGAGAGAGAGAGAGAGAGAGAGAGAGAGAGAGAGAGAGAGAGAGAGAGAGAGAGAGAGAGAGAGAGAGAGAGAGAGAGAGAGAGAGAGCGCATGAGCATCATCAGACTTGGCAGTAAGCATCTTTACCTGCTGAGGCATCTCACCAGTCCCCCATTCATTTTATTTATACACTAACACCTTCCTTTTCAACTTTTAGGGTTTTGTTTTCTTTGATGCAGGGTTTCATTATGTTACCCTGGGTGGCCTTGAACTTGCTATGTTAATCAGGCTGGCCTCAGACACAGAGAGATCCAACTTCCTCTACCTCCTGAGTGCTGGGATTAAAGGTATGCCCTGCCATGTCTCTTTTCAACTTTTGGGTTCCTTTTGTTTGACTGGTTTGGGTTTGGCTTTTTTTATATTATAAACGTTGTTTATGTGGACTGGAGAGATGGCTTAGAGGTTAAGAGCACTGGCTGCTCTTCTAGATGTCCTGAGTTCAATTCCTAGCAACCACATAGTGACTCTCAACACTTCATAAGGAGATTTGGTGCCCTCTTCTGGCGTGTAGGCATACGTGCAGGCAGAACACATAGTAAATCTTTTTGTTTGTTTGTTTTTCGAGACAGGGTTTCTCTGTATTGCTTTGGAGGCTGTCCTGGAACTGGAACTGTAGACCAGGCTGGTCTCGAACTCATAGAGATCCGCCTGCCTCTGCCTCCCGAGTTCTGGAATTAAAGGTGTGTGCTACCAATGCCAGGCCATAGTAATAAATCTTTAAAAAACAAAAAAACAAAAACTTCAGTTAAAAAAAACTTGGTTATGTGTATGGGTGTTTTGCTTGAATGTTTGTCTATGGACCACTTGCATGCCTGGTGCTTATGGAGGCCAGGAGAGGGCATCAGAGCCCTTAAAACGGGAGTTATAGTCAGGTGTTGGTGACACATGCCTTTAGTCCCAGCAGCCAGGGAGGTAGAGGCAGACGAAACTGTGAGTTCGACGAGGTCAGCCTGATCTGCAGAATGAGTTTCAGGACAGGCTCCAAAGTAATACAGCAAAACCCTGTCTCAAAAACCAAAAAAAAAAAAAAAAAAGATGATTGTAAGCCATAGATCCTGGAAAATCAAACCCAGGCCCTCTGCAAGACCCATCTGTGCTCTTAACTGCCGAGCTATCTCTTGTCAACTTCCGAACATACTGGTGTTTCTTTCACTTTTGTTGAAATGGAATATGAAGTTTGCAAGTGAAAAATTATCACCAGGGAGATGTGGTCCAAGAGCACACAGTTTCAGTTAGATAGGTAAGTTACATTTTCAAGATCTATTGCACAGCATGGTGGCCATGGTGAATAGTAGCATCTATTCCAAATGTTTGAAAAGAGTAGCTTTTACATGATCTCACTACAAATAAATGGTGTGTGAGGTGATGGAGATGTTAACTAGCTTGATATCACCATTCAACAATATGTACTTATACAAAAATATATACTGCATTCCATCAATGTATACAGCTATTGTCAGTAAATAAGAAACACGACAGTTATCACCCAGCTCCCTTCAGTCAGAATAAGCAATGTGAACCATCACACAGTTTACCACTGGCTTTAGTGATGAACAACAAATACCTTTTGTTTAAACTACTTTTTTGGACACCAGTGTAATCAGTACAATATAAGAATATTCAGCCTGGTGGTGGTGGCACATATGTTTAATCCCAGTACTTGGGAGGCAGAGGCAGGTGGATCTCTAAGTTTGAGGCCAGCCTGGTTTACAGAGTGAGTTCCAGGACAGCCAGAGCTACACAGAGAAACCCTGTCTCAAAAAAACAAAAACCAAAAGGAATATTTAGGGAAAAACTTTTAGAAGCAGTCCTGTGGGCTTCTCATGCTTTAATCCCAGCACTCTGGAGGCCGAGGCAGGCAGATACTGTGAGTATGAAGCAGAATGGTCTAGATAGCATGCTTTAGGCTACAACGGTATAACCTGGTCACAAGAGGGGGGGAAGTCACTCTTCCATCCACTTTGAGCTGTGCTAATCCCCACCCCCAACTCTGCTAAAGCATATCAGTTCCTCATTCCTTCTGTCTCATCAGACTTGAACAACATCTGTACAAGGTCAAACCAATCCAGCAACCTATAAGCACCCATCTCATGCATCTTAATTATCTTCAGAGTTTACTGTGTCATAAGTTGCAACTTCTGTGCACAAATGATGGAGTCTGGCATCCCCAAGGACCAATCACACGGATGTATCAGGCAGTGGTCAGTTCCGTATCTTATTGCCCTCTAAAGTTTTCCCACATAATTTCTTCTTTAAAAAACTGTTTTGCCAGGCATGGCAGCAGACACCTTTAATCCTATCACTCAGGAGGCAGATGCAGATGAATCTCTGTGAGTCCACATAGTAAAACCCTGTCTGACAAAAACTGGAAGGTGGGGCAAAACACATTTCCATTAAGAGGCAGGTAAAGTCACCAAGGATGATTTTTCCTTGGAGTTCAGGGGTGATGTGGAGTTAATGGCTCAAATCATTATTTTAATAGGAGCAAAAGCTACAATGTACTGAAATAAAAATGCCCCTTCCCCTAAAAAAATTACTTTTTTCTTTTTTTGGTTTTTTGAGACAAGGTTTCCTTGTGTAGCTTTGAAGCCTGTCCTGGAACTAGCTCTTGTAGAGCAGGTTGGTCTCAAACTCACACAGGTCTGCCTGCCTCTGCCTCCAGAGTACTGAGACTAAAGGCGTGCACCACCACCACCTGACAAAAAATACTTTTTTAAAAATAGGGTTTTATGTAGTAGAGGCTGGCTTTAGACCATGTAGCAGAAGATGGCCTTGAACTTCTGTACCCCTGCCTCCACCTCTCAAATGCTGAGATTACTCATGTAGGCCACCAGAGCTTTATTTTGAATGTGGTGTTGATGCTTGACTTTGTGCGTGCTAGGCAAGCATTCTACCAAGTGAGTCACATGGCCCAGCTCCATTTTTCTAAAACTCTACACTGTGAACATGGTTTCGTCAAATATTTATAAATCTAATTTTTGGAATAAAATTGAAGTTCTAGTCTCAAGTTAAGTGATGCAGACAAAGGGGGCCTGTTTATCTCGTCTTTCCCTAGGACAACACTGAAAATATACCTTGGACCTTGACTGTAAGTTTCCCCCAAAGATGATGAGCAAAGCAGAGAGGAGATGTCACCAACAAAGTGGCTGTGAGGGAAATGAGAGGCAGGGTTGGTCTTGGTATGTTTCAATTCTCCACATAGCATTGGTTCACACCATATTAAATACGGTTTTTAAATTTGTGTGCCAAAATTTATTTTATTTATTTATTTATTTTTATTTAGGTTAGAAACAATCTTGTTTCACATGTCAATCCCAGCTCCCTCTCCCTCCCCTCCTCCCCAGCCCTCCCCACTAGGTCTCCCAGTCACCTACCCAGTCTCCACTCTGATCCCCAAGGAGGGTGCGGCCCTCCATGGTGGATCTCCAGTAACTGTCATTTCATCCAGGGCAGGGCCTAGGCCCTCCCCCAAGAGTCCCAGCTGAGAGAGCATCCCATAGTGTGGCATGGGCACTCAAAATCTATTTGTACACCAGGGGTAAATACTACCCAAGGCCCCATAGATTATTACCTAGGCCTCCTCACTGACACCTACATTCAGGGGGTCTGGGTCAGTACCATGCTTTCTACACAGCCATCAATCTGGAGTCCAAGAGCTCCCCCTTGTTCAGGTCAGCTGTTTCTGTGGGTTAAACCAGCCCACTCTTAACTCCTTTGCCCATCAGTTCTCTCTTTCTGACACTGGATTCCAGGAGTTCAGTTCAGTGTTTGTCTGTGGGTATCTTCCTCTGCTTTCATCAGTTGCTGGATGAAGGTTCTGTTTTCTAGGCTCTCTGGCAGTGGGATTGTATGCTGCGTGTGGCAAAATTTAAAGATGGAAAAGTCTAGGGCTAGGATGATAACTCAATGGTTAAACTGCTTGTGCCCAATTGTGAGGACCAGAGTTTGAATTCCCAGAACCCATGCCAAATGCTAGGTAGATGAGGTGACCCCCCCCCGTAATTGCAGCCTAGGAAGCAGAGACAGGAGATCTCCAGAGAAAGACTAGCATCAGTAGCAAGCTCCGGTCTTGATTGAGAGACCAATAAATAGGGAGGAAGAGAGACTGAGCATGACTCCTGACAGCACCCTCAGACTTCCACATGTACATGTGCTCCCATGAGCATGCAAAAACCATGCACACCACACACACATGAAAAATGGAAACAGGGAAAAATAAAGCTGGACAATTTCATGTAAACATCCATATTTGCAACCTGACTTGCATCATTGAGACTCTAATGGCCATGATGGGCACATAATCTCATTGGACAGCAGGCTGGGTGGGTGAAAAAGCTGCCTCTTTGAAGTAGACCCACTTGCTCTTCACTGTTACTGTTTCCTTCA